TTGACATTCTTCATGTTTCCGATATGTAAACTACAAGGCAGTAAAAGTTATCACCGACTTCACCGACCAACAGAGATACAAAAATTTATGATAATTATTGTGCAAACATATATCATTTTCCAATGATATAATTGAAAATGCTTTGCAGTCCAGAGTCAAGGGGTCAAAATTGAATTTACACAATTCGGGGTTCATTCCAATAGTGCATAAATAGTCACAAAATGAGACAGGACTCAGGGCGCACATCATCAATAGAGAGTGTGACCACCCTGGGCATCCATACACGCCAACACGTCGTCCTCAATGACGTCATCAGTCAGCGGATGACGTCAGCAGGAATCCTGTTCCGTAAGTTCAAGAGAGACTGTTCAAGTTCCTGTCGGTTCGCAGGAGGTTGTACCTGCTGTCTCAGCTGACGATGAAGATGATCCAAGAAATGTTCAATGGGGCTCATGTCTGGAGAATGCACTGGAAAAGGCAATACGTTGACGTTAACATTAACGTGCAGGTATTCTCGAACAATTCTGGTTGGGTTTGCAACTACTTTTAAGTGATAACTTTATCTTACCCGGTAGTATATATCGTGTTCACTTCAATAGGTGGATATAGTATTTGATATCAGAAGAAAGTTGATGTTGGCCCTTGTGTCGTCATTATTTGAGGGTGATTCGTGAACACAAGCTCATGGTAAATTGCATGAGTAGACAGAATATTACAAGGAATTTGGCTTGCATTTCTTATGAATATGGGAAAAATCTTGAAGTTTGAAGGTATCTAACAATGATATTTGTTCGTGGATTCAAAATTTGCTCTTTGAGGACTACACACTCGATAGATTATAACTTTGTTCATCGCTGATTGGCATTTGGTGATTACAGGGTCTAATTAAAGCAGCATCAGCGAGACAACTGACAGTGGGAGTATTTACACCAGGATTTATGCTGGTAGATAATATCATACATCCAGTATCGTGGGGATGAAAGACATCCGACATAAATCTTTTCACAGAATATTTTTCGACACTGTTATATTTGCTATGTTCTATAGCCAAATGACTAAAAGGAACAAATGGATCTATAAAATATCTCTGCCAAAATCACATTCCAGTGTACGATTTTAATAATTTTAAAAGCATGTGTTCATGATTCAGTATCTCTTTCACCGCTATTTGGCCTTTCTGACAATCGAGGCTGATTGTTCTCTGGCGTTTACATTTTGTTATACTGAAACGTGGTTTATATATGTATTTATTTCATATCCTCCTGTAATATGCTAATAAATATTCTAATCAATTACTGTTATCAGTTTTATTTATTTGTCATTTCATGCTTCTAAGCTATGACTTCATGTACGTTACTCCCCATGATAATGATTGCAAGATACGCGATCCTAATGGGAAAAAGCAGCATCGGATATTACATTGCCTTTCGTGTGTTACCTGATGCATATTGTTTCATGAAACAAAGCTGCCATTGGTTACTCCTTCATTACTGACTGTCTCTGTGGTCTAGTAGAGAGTCCGGAAGATCGGTGGCTCAGTTAATACCACGTCAAACCAACCATCTTTACCCTGCCATCAATCCCCATTGAAACTTTTCAACCTGGTGGGAGTGAAGGTCTCAGGTCATCATATATATTGACTTCAAATGAACATAAACTCATGCAAAATAAGAGTGACACATTGTTTGATGAACATCATACTAACGTGCAGGTCAAATGTACAGGTCTGTCATGAAAAGTCTCAACTTCAGGTGGGGAAAGAACGCACATTGTATGATATAATGTTTAACAATCAACAGAAGGACATTGTCCAGACGACTCCGTCTCAGAGCCTGTCGGTGGTTCAAGGTCACTACGTTGAAGCATGAACATCGTCGTAGACGATCGAGATGATGCAGGGATAAAAAAGCAGGTTTCAACTGAACAAATGTGATGGCGTTGTACGTGTCCAAGGGCAGCGCCGTGAACGTGATATTGTTTGATAAATTGGGGACTTATTTGTGGGAACAGTCTGGTTGTTTCATATCGATGACTTTTGAGACTACTTCTACTACATCCAGCAGTGGTTAGAGCGTCCGCCCGGAGAGCGGAAGGTCGCGGGTTCGATCCCCGACCGCGTCATACCAAAAGACGTTAAAATATGGTACTTGTTGGTCCCCTGCCTGGCGCTCGGCATTAATGGGTACAACAAGGACTGGTCGGCTCGAGTCAGTATAATGTGTCTGAGTGGGGTATTCATGCTTCACTGCGGCATGGTATCTCAGTGGGCTAGCACTATAAAATCAGCTTAAGTCTGGGCTAGTACAAGCAGCCGCACATAAACATACACACGCATGCACGTCGTCATATGAGCGAACTATTCTCAAGCACGACGTTAAACCCAATTTCACCTCACCTCACCTCACCTCACATCCAGCAGCACCGACGTATATTGTTTCAACAGGACAATGTCACCCCTCGTACAACCATTGTCATAAGGAACTTTTTAAACGCCAACAACGTGAACTGTCCTTGTCAGCTTCTCCACTGTGTTGACATATGGGGCTATCTGAAGGAACATGACCCATATGGAAGGTGTGAAAACAACATGATCAAATTATGTTTGGGAAACAAAATACACACATAAACACATTCACCAATAACTTCAACATTAAACATTCTAGGGCCATACGTGTACAGCCTTGATTTTGTAACATCAGTGGTTTATTTTAAAAATGAGCATTTATCACCATAACGTCAACATGGATTCCAATCATTTTCTCGTTTTGTATGAGTCAAAGGATCATATGGTCACCACGAGAAGTTTTATGTACGTGTTGAAAACCTATCATTGCAAATATATAAGGAGGGCTTAATTAAGTTCTTTGTGCATACAACGAGGCACGGCGCAGAGTTGATCGTTCAGCCAACACACCAGGCATGTGTACATTCGGGAAGTATGAAGATACGTTCTGTAACAAAGGAAGTTTGTATATATAACGCACAGCTCAGCACACACAGCATCATGGGATCTGTATACTTCACAAAAGTATGTATATGTGTTGGGATCGCACTGTGTTTACTGGGCATTATTGGAAACTCGATAAACGTATATGTTCTTTCCAAAATGAATTCAAGGTCATCATGACAGTTGAACTACTTCAATTTTGTGGATATTGTAATCGACACTCTCTCCTTGATGACGATGAATGCCTTAATGTTGGAAGGATTCCAAGACAGTGATGTGCATTTGTGTTTGACGACATTGGCTGATATAGTTCAAACGTTTGAAGCTCACCTGACGCTCTTCATTGCCTTTGTGAGATGTCTGGCCTTGGCGATGTCTTACAGATTTTCAACTTGTTATCGGGGTTCGGTTCAAAATAAGTTAATGATTATAATTCATAGTTTAGGGCACTCATGTCCACGTGTGGTGTTCAAGAGCTGCTCGTTTTCGACTCTTCAGAAAACTGTATTACATTTAAGCATTTTGTAAGGTTTGAGCCAACTAACATTTAACGCAACCTGAACTTTCACACCCAAATATACACTTGCACATACACACAAACCTGGCACACCTACACAGTACACTAACGTACACAAACGCTATCAAGAAAACACACTCTATGAAGTTAAATGAGAGAGTTTGATGACAGGGTTGACATGATTTCCCTAAAACAATTATGTGTTTTAGGCCAGGAAACCGAAAATGTGTGCCCGGTGAGTGCACATGTCCTGAGCTTTCACTCTGCTGGTATTATTCTGTATTTTTGTGTGTCTACCCAAATGTATACTTCGGGCGCCATAGCGAGCCCATGCTGCCTCAACTTCCGTGACCGTGTCATGATAGCTATCGGTGGCATCAATGCCTGGGGACATGGGATGAGATTTCTTTCATTTAAGAGATGGGAGATTTGTAACTGTTGCACTACCTGAGCTTACGGTTACCAATAGATATATTTGACATTTGCTAATAAAGAAAAGGAAAGGGTTTCTAGAAGGCAATGTGATTTTGAAATAAAAAGGTAGGAATTTCAATTTTGAAAATATATCTTTAACTTGAAACACGCCACTTCATATTAAGTATAATCATGAAAAATGAATAATTTGCTTCCCATAACCTGTGCCATTAAACATCTAGTGTTTGTCATAAGTTGCTGAACGTTCTTGACTCCAGTAACGGTAGCACACTAGACTCAGTACTTGCACTTAACGCAATAGTGAAGTTCAACATTTATCGTCCATTTTATACATTCTCTCTCCATTCATTTTTTCAGTTCTCCTCTGTAGCTGCAATTGCATTGGATGAACCATGCAGTCTGAATTGCTTCCCAACAGTGAGCTGGCCACAGGGTGCCAGGTGAGGTCACAAATCCACAGCTTGCTTTTTATAATTATGCAGGAAGATATGCATAATATAGAGAGGCAGGCGACACCGTCCCGTGCCCAATTACATAATAAAGATTCACTTTTCACGCTGTATAGTTGTAAAAAGTGTTTTTGGAATTTTAATTTCTAAAATCTTCCAGTGTGGGCATGTACATTCAGCATCCTGTTTTCCCGTACCACAAGTATATAAAGGTCTGGTGAATCACAAAAGCGACATTCAAATCGTTTATTCTCTCGTGGATAAACGTAACAGGCAGGATGCGTATTCTTAACGTTGCAGTTGTCGTAGTCTTGGGTAAGTTTTCTCATCTGTTGACATCTCTCATTGCTAAAACTCCTAATGATCAAATGTAGTAGCTATTGATGAGTTTAATGTGGCTTTACAATTATGTTGACAACCTTATGATTGGGGAAGTGTTTACCATGGTCTAATCATGTATCGTGATTGGTAGCGGGATTTTGTATGGGTCATTTGTCCTGTCATATATATGACCACTTACGTATTTGTTTCTTTACATTCTTCACAGTCTTCCTTGGCTCCGTCTTTGGTGGCCATGGTGGTGGTGGCCATGGAGGCGGAGGCCATGGTGGTGGTGGTGGCCATGGAGGTGGAGGCCATGGTGGTGGTGGCCATGGAGGTGGAGGCCATGGTGGTGGTCATGGAGGCGGCGGCCATGGTGGTGGTCATGGAGGCGGCGGCCATGGTGGTGGTCATGGAGGCGGCGGCCATGGTGGTCATGGAGGGTGGTGGCCATGGAGGAGGCCACGGAGGAGGTGGTGGCCATGGAGGAGGCCGCGGCCATGGAGGAGGCCACGGAGGAGGTGGTCACGGAGGAGGTGGCCATGGAGGAGGCGGACACCATGGTTGAAAGATCCAAGGATCATAATATTCACATCAAATGCTGGACATTTGATATCACATTTGTGGATTTCACTTACCATGCTGCATCCAACCAATCTGTATATTCCTCAACAAGTACAAATAAAGCTGTGATTTATACTGTAATGATTTCTTTGCTTTAATATTTTTCAAGTACAATCCTAATTCAGGACTTACTTTTGAACCATGCGAGTGAATGGTTAGGTGGCGTCCACCTAACTTATATTTTAAACCGTCCAATCGAAAGGTGACACACGTGTGTCAGTGCAATCATGCACTGAAGATAACAACAGGAGCTTGTGTGGTAGTGCTGATTTCCAGCCGTGCAACGACACGTTCTACATAAAAAGGGCCCAAAACCAAATATAAATGATGGTTCTTTTTTCAAGAGTCTAGCACAATATGAATGTTCAAGTAAACAGACTTCCCCTTAGAAGGCCCTATACCGCAGTTACCTCCCCTGAATTTTACTATGACCCGGAAGGCCAAGAAGTTATACTACACCAAATCAGATCCCGTCATTTAAGAACTCTTCCTAGGGAGCCTTCAGTGCAGGCAGAATCATCTGATGGCTGTGATTGGATGATTTTTGTGTTTGTTAAAAGTGTATTCATTCGGTGAATAAAACTGACCATACTTTTTCAATATTTAGTGCAGTCTTTTTTAACACAATGACTTTGGCCGAATGTTTGCAGAGATATGTTCAAGCAAGTGACATTTGGTGCGGAACTGGTGTTGGTGTGTTCAACTTCCACTACCCGAAAAGGAAGTGGTTACCTAGTCAACATATGTGTTTTATCGTGGCTTTCAGGCCATACTTTGCGTATATATCCATTCAATGCCTGTTAACGACCTGCTATCATCAAGAGGTGATACAAGGGTTTAGATTGTCAGTTGCACCCGCCAGTGCCTGTTGTAAACTATCACCACGTACATGTTCCTGTTGAGAGAGTGCTTACACCATGTATTCGTTTGATCATTTAGTGTCGTCATGTCCACGTGTGGTGTTCAAGAGCTGCTCGTTTTCGACTCTTCAGAAAACTGAATTACATTTAAGCATTTTGTAAGGTTTGAGCCAAATAACATTTCACGCAACCTGAACTTTCACACCCAAATATACACTTGCACATACACACAAACCTGACACACCTACACAGTACACTAACGTACACAAACGCTATCAAGAAAACACACTCTATGAAGTTAAATGAGAGAGTTTGATGACAGGGTTGACATGATTTCCCTAAAACAATTATGTGTTTTAGGCCAGGAAACCGAAAATGTGTGCCCGGTGAGTGCACATGTCCTGAGCTTTCACTCTGCTGGTATTATTCTGTATTTTTGTGTGTCTACCCAAATGTATACTTCGGGCGCCATAGCGAGCCCATGCTGCCTCAACTTCCGTGACCGTGTCATGATAGCTATCGGTGGCATCAATGCCTGGGGACATGGGATGAGATTTCTTTCATTTAAGAGATGGGAGATTTGTAACTGTTGCACTACCTGAGCTTACGGTTACCAATAGATATATTTGACATTTGCTAATAAGAGAAAAGGAAAGCGTTTCTAGAAGGCAATGTGATTTTGAAATAAAAGGTAGGAATTTCAATTTTGAAAATATATCTTTAACTTGAAACACGCCACTTCATATTAAGTATAATCATGAAAATGAATAATTTGCTTCCCATAACCTGTGCCATTAAACATCTAGTGTTTGTCATACGTTGCTGAACGTTCTTGACTCCAGTAACGGTAGCACACTAGACTCAGTACTTGCACTTAACGCAATAGTGAAGTTCAACATTTATCGTCCATTTTATACATTCTCTCTCCATTCATTTTTTCAGTTCTCCTCTGTAGCTGCAATTGCATTGGATGAACCATGCAGTCTGAATTGCTTCCCAACAGTGAGCTGGCCACAGGGTGCCAGGTGAGGTCACAAATCCACAGCTTGCTTTTATAATTATGCAGGAAGATATGCATAATATAGAGAGGCAGGCGACACCGTCCCGTGCCCAATTACATAATAAAGATTCACTTTTCACGCTGTATAGTTGTAAAAAGTGTTTTTGGAATTTTAATTTCTAAAATCTTCCAGTGTGGGCATGTACATTCAGCATCCTGTTTTCCCGTACCACAAGTATATAAAGGTCTGGTGAATCACAAAAGCGACATTCAAATCGTTTATTCTCTCGTGGATAAACGTAACAGGCAGGATGCGTATTCTTAACGTTGCAGTTGTCGTAGTCTTGGGTAAGTTTTCTCATCTGTTGACATCTCTCATTGCTAAAACTCCTAATGATCAAATGTAGTAGCTATTGATGAGTTTAATGTGGCTTTACAATTATGTTGACAACCTTATGATTGGGGAAGTGTTTACCATGGTCTAATCATGTATCGTGATTGGTAGCGGGATTTTGTATGGGTCATTTGTCCTGTCATATATATGACCACTTACGTATTTGTTTCTTTACATTCTTCACAGTCTTCCTTGGCTCCGTCTTTGGTGGCCATGGTGGTGGTGGCCATGGAGGCGGAGGCCATGGTGGTGGTGGTGGCCATGGAGGTGGAGGCCATGGTGGTGGTGGCCATGGAGGTGGAGGCCATGGTGGTGGTGGCCATGGAGGTGGAGGCCACGGTGGTGGTCATGGAGGCGGCGGCCATGGTGGTGGTCATGGAGGCGGCGGCCATGGTGGTGGTCATGGAGGTGGCGGCCATGGAGGAGGCCACGGAGGAGGTGGTCACGGAGGAGGTGGTCACGGAGGAGGTGGCCATGGAGGAGGTGGTCATGGAGGAGGCGGACACCATGGTTGAAAGATCCAAGGATCATAATATTCACATCAAATGCTGGACATTTGATATCACATTTGTGGATTTCACTTACCATGCTGCATCCAACCAATCTGTATATTCCTCAACAAGTACAAATAAAGCTGTGATTTATACTGTAATGATTTCTTTGCTTTAATATTTTTCAAGTACAATCCTAATTCAGGACTTACTTTTGAACCATGCGAGTGAATGGTTAGGTGGCGTCCACCTAACTTATATTTTAAACCGTCCAATCGAAAGGTGACACACGTGTGTCAGTGCAATCATGCACTGAAGATAACAACAGGAGCTTGTGTGGTAGTGCTGATTTCCAGCCGTGCAACGACACGTTCTACATAAAAGGGCCAAAACCAAATATAAATGATGGTTCTTTTTTCAAGAGTCTAGCACAATATGAATGTTCAAGTAAACAGACTTCCCCTTAGAAGGCCCTATACCGCAGTTACCTCCCCTGAATTTTACTATGACCCGGAAGGCCAAGAAGTTATACTACACCAAATCAGATCCCGTCATTTAAGAACTCTTCCTAGGGAGCCTTCAGTGCAGGCAGAATCATCTGATGGCTGTGATTGGATGATTTTTGTGTTTGTTAAAAGTGTATTCATTCGGTGAATAAAACTGACCATACTTTTTCAATATTTAGTGCAGTCTTTTTTAACACAATGACTTTGGCCGAATGTTTGCAGAGATATGTTCAAGCAAGTGACATTTGGTGCGGAACTGGTGTTGGTGTGTTCAACTTCCACTACCCGAAAAGGAAGTGGTTACCTAGTCAACATATGTGTTTTATCGTGGCTTTCAGGCCATACTTTGCGTATATATCCATTCAATGCCTGTTAACGACCTGCTATCATCAAGAGGTGATACAAGGGTTTAGATTGTCAGTTGCACCCGCCAGTGCCTGTTGTAAACTATCACCACGTACATGTTCCTGTTGAGAGAGTGCTTACACCATGTATTCGTTTGATCATTTAGTGTCGTCATGTCCACGTGTGGTGTTCAAGAGCTGCTCGTTTTCGACTCTTCAGAAAACTGAATTACATTTAAGCATTTTGTAAGGTTTGAGCCAAATAACATTTCACGCAACCTGAACTTTCACACCCAAATATACACTTGCACATACACACAAACCTGACACACCTACACAGTACACTAACGTACACAAACGCTATCAAGAAAACACACTCTATGAAGTTAAATGAGAGAGTTTGATGACAGGGTTGACATGATTTCCCTAAAAACAATTATGTGTTTTAGGCCAGGAAACCGAAAATGTGTGCCCGGTGAGTGCACATGTCCTGAGCTTTCACTCTGCTGGTATTATTCTGTATTTTTGTGTGTCTACCCAAATGTATACTTCGGGCGCCATAGCGAGCCCATGCTGCCTCAACTTCCGTGACCGTGTCATGATAGCTATCGGTGGCATCAATGCCTGGGGACATGGGATGAGATTTCTTTCATTTAAGAGATGGGAGATTTGTAACTGTTGCACTACCTGAGCTTACGGTTACCAATAGATATATTTGACATTTGCTAATAAGAGAAAAGGAAAGCGTTTCTAGAAGGCAATGTGATTTTGAAATAAAAAGGTAGGAATTTCAATTTTGAAAATATATCTTTAACTTGAAACACGCCACTTCATATTAAGTATAATCATGAAAAATGAATAATTTGCTTCCCATAACCTGTGCCATTAAACATCTAGTGTTTGTCATACGTTGCTGAACGTTCTTGACTCCAGTAACGGTAGCACACTAGACTCAGTACTTGCACTTAACGCAATAGTGAAGTTCAACATTTATCGTCCATTTTATACATTCTCTCTCCATTCATTTTTTCAGTTCTCCTCTGTAGCTGCAATTGCATTGGATGAACCATGCAGTCTGAATTGCTTCCCAACAGTGAGCTGGCCACAGGGTGCCAGGTGAGGTCACAAATCCACAGCTTGCTTTTTATAATTATGCAGGAAGATATGCATAATATAGAGAGGCAGGCGACACCGTCCCGTGCCCAATTACATAATAAAGATTCACTTTTCACGCTGTATAGTTGTAAAAAGTGTTTTTGGAATTTTAATTTCTAAAATCTTCCAGTGTGGGCATGTACATTCAGCATCCTGTTTTCCCGTACCACAAGTATATAAAGGTCTGGTGAATCACAAAAGCGACATTCAAATCGTTTATTCTCTCGTGGATAAACGTAACAGGCAGGATGCGTATTCTTAACGTTGCAGTTGTCGTAGTCTTGGGTAAGTTTTCTCATCTGTTGACATCTCTCATTGCTAAAACTCCTAATGATCAAATGTAGTAGCTATTGATGAGTTTAATGTGGCTTTACAATTATGTTGACAACCTTATGATTGGGGAAGTGTTTACCATGGTCTAATCATGTATCGTGATTGGTAGCGGGATTTTGTATGGGTCATTTGTCCTGTCATATATATGACCACTTACGTATTTGTTTCTTTACATTCTTCACAGTCTTCCTTGGCTCCGTCTTTGGTGGCCATGGTGGTGGTGGCCATGGAGGCGGAGGCCATGGTGGTGGTGGTGGCCATGGAGGTGGAGGCCATGGTGGTGGTGGCCATGGAGGTGGAGGCCATGGTGGTGGTGGCCATGGAGGTGGAGGCCACGGTGGTGGTCATGGAGGCGGCGGCCATGGTGGTGGTCATGGAGGCGGCGGCCATGGTGGTGGTCATGGAGGTGGCGGCCATGGAGGAGGCCACGGAGGAGGTGGTCACGGAGGAGGTGGCGGCCATGGAGGAGGCCACGGAGGAGGTGGTCACGGAGGAGGTGGCCATGGAGGAGGTGGTCATGGAGGAGGCGGACACCATGGTTGAAAGATCCAAGGATCATAATATTCACATCAAATGCTGGACATTTGATATCACATTTGTGGATTTCACTTACCATGCTGCATCCAACCAATCTGTATATTCCTCAACAAGTACAAATAAAGCTGTGATTTATACTGTAATGATTTCTTTGCTTTAATATTTTTCAAGTACAATCCTAATTCAGGACTTACTTTTGAACCATGCGAGTGAATGGTTAGGTGGCGTCCACCTAACTTATATTTTAAACCGTCCAATCGAAAGGTGACACACGTGTGTCAGTGCAATCATGCACTGAAGATAACAACAGGAGCTTGTGTGGTAGTGCTGATTTCCAGCCGTGCAACGACACGTTCTACATAAAAGGGCCAAAACCAAATATAAATGATGGTTCTTTTTTCAAGAGTCTAGCACAATATGAATGTTCAAGTAAACAGACTTCCCCTTAGAAGGCCCTATACCGCAGTTACCTCCCCTGAATTTTACTATGACCCGGAAGGCCAAGAAGTTATACTACACCAAATCAGATCCCGTCATTTAAGAACTCTTCCTAGGGAGCCTTCAGTGCAGGCAGAATCATCTGATGGCTGTGATTGGATGATTTTTGTGTTTGTTAAAAGTGTATTCATTCGGTGAATAAAACTGACCATACTTTTCAATATTTAGTGCAGTCTTTTTAACACAATGACTTTGGCCGAATGTTTGCAGAGATATGTTCAAGCAAGTGACATTTGGTGCGGAACTGGTGTTGGTGTGTTCAACTTCCACTACCCGAAAAGGAAGTGGTTACCTAGTCAACATATGTGTTTTATCGTGGCTTTCAGGCCATACTTTGCGTATATATCCATTCAATGCCTGTTAACGACCTGCTATCATCAAGAGGTGATACAAGGGTTTAGATTGTCAGTTGCACCCGCCAGTGCCTGTTGTAAACTATCACCACGTACATGTTCCTGTTGAGAGAGTGCTTACACCATGTATTCGTTTGATCATTTAGTGTCGTCATGTCCACGTGTGGTGTTCAAGAGCTGCTCGTTTTCGACTCTTCAGAAAACTGAATTACATTTAAGCATTTTGTAAGGTTTGAGCCAAATAACATTTCACGCAACCTGAACTTTCACACCCAAATATACACTTGCACATACACACAAACCTGACACACCTACACAGTACACTAACGTACACAAACGCTATCAAGAAAACACACTCTATGAAGTTAAATGAGAGAGTTTGATGACAGGGTTGACATGATTTCCCTAAAAACAATTATGTGTTTTAGGCCAGGAAACCGAAAATGTGTGCCCGGTGAGTGCACATGTCCTGAGCTTTCACTCTGCTGGTATTATTCTGTATTTTTGTGTGTCTACCCAAATGTATACTTCGGGCGCCATAGCGAGCCCATGCTGCCTCAACTTCCGTGACCGTGTCAGGATAGCTATCGGTGGCATCAATGCCTGGGGACATGGGATGAGATTTCTTTCATTTAAGAGATGGGAGATTTGTAACTGTTGCACTACCTGAGCTTACGGTTACCAATAGATATATTTGACATTTGCTAATAAGAGAAAAGGAAAGCGTTTCTAGAAGGCAATGTGATTTTGAAATAAAAAGGTAGGAATTTCAATTTTGAAAATATATCTTTAACTTGAAACACGCCACTTCATATTAAGTATAATCATGAAAAATGAATAATTTGCTTCCCATAACCTGTGCCATTAAACATCTAGTGTTTGTCATACGTTGCTGAACGTTCTTGACTCCAGTAACGGTAGCACACTAGACTCAGTACTTGCACTTAACGCAATAGTGAAGTTCAACATTTATCGTCCATTTTATACATTCTCTCTCCATTCATTTTTTCAGTTCTCCTCTGTAGCTGCAATTGCATTGGATGAACCATGCAGTCTGAATTGCTTCCCAACAGTGAGCTGGCCACAGGGTGCCAGGTGAGGTCACAAATCCACAGCTTGCTTTTTATAATTATGCAGGAAGATATGCATAATATAGAGAGGCAGGCGACACCGTCCCGTGCCCAATTACATAATAAAGATTCACTTTTCACGCTGTATAGTTGTAAAAAGTGTTTTTGGAATTTTAATTTCTAAAATCTTCCAGTGTGGGCATGTACATTCAGCATCCTGTTTTCCCGTACCACAAGTATATAAAGGTCTGGTGAATCACAAAAGCGACATTCAAATCGTTTATTCTCTCGTGGATAAACGTAACAGGCAGGATGCGTATTCTTAACGTTGCAGTTGTCGTAGTCTTGGGTAAGTTTTCTCATCTGTTGACATCTCTCATTGCTAAAACTCCTAATGATCAAATGTAGTAGCTATTGATGAGTTTAATGTGGCTTTACAATTATGTTGACAACCTTATGATTGGGGAAGTGTTTACCATGGTCTAATCATGTATCGTGATTGGTAGCGGGATTTTGTATGGGTCATTTGTCCTGTCATATATATGACCACTTACGTATTTGTTTCTTTACATTCTTCACAGTCTTCCTTGGCTCCGTCTTTGGTGGCCATGGTGGTGGTGGCCATGGAGGCGGAGGCCATGGTGGTGGTGGTGGCCATGGAGGTGGAGGCCATGGTGGTGGTGGCCATGGAGGTGGAGGCCATGGTGGTGGTGGCCATGGAGGTGGAGGCCACGGTGGTGGTCATGGAGGCGGCGGCCATGGTGGTGGTCATGGAGGCGGCGGCCATGGTGGTGGTCATGGAGGTGGCGGCCATGGAGGAGGCCACGGAGGAGGTGGTCACGGAGGAGGTGGCGGCCATGGAGGAGGCCACGGAGGAGGTGGTCACGGAGGAGGTGGCCATGGAGGAGGTGGTCATGGAGGAGGCGGACACCATGGTTGAAAGATCCAAGGATCATAATATTCACATCAAATGCTGGACATTTGATATCACATTTGTGGATTTCACTTACCATGCTGCTGCATCCAACCAATCTGTATATTCCTCAACAAGTACAAATAAAGCTGTGATTTATACTGTAATGATTTCTTTGCTTTAATATTTTTCAAGTACAATCCTAATTCAGGACTTACTTTTGAACCATGCGAGTGAATGGTTAGGTGGCGTCCACCTAACTTATATTTTAAACCGTCCAATCGAAAGGTGACACGTGTGTCAGTGCAATCATGCACTGAAGATAACAACAGGAGCTTGTGTGGTAGTGCTGATTTCCAGCCGTGCAACGACACGTTCTACATAAAAGGGCCAAAACCAAATATAAATGATGGTTCTTTTTTCAAGAGTCTAGCACAATATGAATGTTCAAGTAAACAGACTTCCCCTTAGAAGGCCCTATACCGCAGTTACCTCCCCTGAATTTTACTATGACCCGGAAGGCCAAGATAGTTATACTACACCAAATCAGATCCCGTCATTTAAGAACTCTTCCTAGGGAGCCTTCAGTGCAGGCAGAATCATCTGATGGCTGTGATTGGATGATTTTGTGTTTGTTAAAAGTGTATTCATTCGGTGAATAAAACTGACCATACTTTTTCAATATTTAGTGCAGTCTTTTTTTTACACAATGACTTTGGCCGAATGTTTGCAGAGATATGTTCAAGCAAGTGACATTTGGTGCGGAACTGGTGTTGGTGTGTTCAACTTCCACTACCCGAAAAGGAAGTGGTTACCTAGTCAACATATGTGTTTTATCGTGGCTTTCAGGCCATACTTTGCGTATATATCCATTCAATGCCTGTTAACGACCTGCTATCATCAAGAGGTGATACAAGGGTTTAGATTGTCAGTTGCACCCGCCAGTGCCTGTTGTAAACTATCACCACGTACATGTTCCTGTTGAGAGAGTGCTTACACCATGTATTCGTTTGATCATTTAGTGTCGTCATGTCCACGTGTGGTGTTCAAGAGCTGCTCGTTTTCGACTCTTCAGAAAACTGAATTACATTTAAGCATTTTGTAAGGTTTGAGCCAAATAACATTTCACGCAACCTGAACTTTCACACCCAAATATACACTTGCACATACACACAAACCTGACACACCTACACAGTACACTAACGTACACAAACGCTATCAAGAAAACACACTCTATGAAGTTAAATGAGAGAGTTTGATGACAGGGTTGACATGATTTCCCTAAAAACAATTATGTGTTTTAGGCCAGGAAACCGAAAATGTGTGCCCGGTGAGTGCACATGTCCTGAGCTTTCACTCTGCTGGTATTATTCTGTATTTTTGTGTGTCTACCCAAATGTATACTTCGGGCGCCATAGCGAGCCCATGCTGCCTCAACTTCCGTGACCGTGTCAGGATAGCTATCGGTGGCATCAATGCCTGGGGACATGGGATGAGATTTCTTTCATTTAAGAGATGGGAGATTTGTAACTGTTGCACTACCTGAGCTTACGGTTACCAATAGATATATTTGACATTTGCTAATAAGAGAAAAGGAAAGCGTTTCTAGAAGGCAATGTGATTTTGAAATAAAAAGGTAGGAATTTCAATTTTGAAAATATATCTTTAACTTGAAACACGCCACTTCATATTAAGTATAATCATGAAAAATGAATAATTTGCTTCCCATAACCTGTGCCATTAAACATCTAGTGTTTGTCATACGTTGCTGAACGTTCTTGACTCCAGTAACGGTAGCACACTAGACTCAGTACTTGCACTTAACGCAATAGTGAAGTTCAACATTTATCGTCCATTTTATACATTCTCTCTCCATTCATTTTTTCAGTTCTCCTCTGTAGCTGCAATTGCATTGGATGAACCATGCAGTCTGAATTGCTTCCCAACAGTGAGCTGGCCACAGGGTGCCAGGTGAGGTCACAAATCCACAGCTTGCTTTTTATAATTATGCAGGAAGATATGCATAATATAGAGAGGCAGGCGACACCGTCCCGTGCCCAATTACATAATAAAGATTCACTTTTCACGCTGTATAGTTGTAAAAAAGTGTTTTTGGAATTTTAATTTCTAAAATCTTCCAGTGTGGGCATGTACATTCAGCATCCTGTTTTCCCGTACCACAAGTATATAAAGGTCTGGTGAATCACAAAAGCGACATTCAAATCGTTTATTCTCTCGTGGATAAACGTAACAGGCAGGATGCGTATTCTTAACGTTGCAGTTGTCGTAGTCTTGGGTAAGTTTTCTCATCTGTTGACATCTCTCATTGCTAAAACTCCTAATGATCAAATGTAGTAGCTATTGATGAGTTTAATGTGGCTTTACAATTATGTTGACAACCTTATGATTGGGGAAGTGTTTACCATGGTCTAATCATGTATCGTGATTGGTAGCGGGATTTTGTATGGGTCATTTGTCCTGTCATATATATGACCACTTACGTATTTGTTTCTTTACATTCTTCACAGTCTTCCTTGGCTCCGTCTTTGGTGGCCATGGTGGTGGTGGCCATGGAGGCGGAGGCCATGGTGGTGGTGGTGGCCATGGAGGTGGAGGCCATGGTGGTGGTGGCCATGGAGGTGGAGGCCATGGGTGGTGGCCATGGTGGTGGGAGGCCACGGTGGAGGTGGGCGGCCCATGGTGGTGGTCATGGAGGCGGCGGCCATGGTGGTGGTCATGGAGGTGGCGGCCATGGAGGAGGCCACGGAGGAGGTGGTCACGGAGGAGGTGGCGGCCATGGAGGAGGCCACGGAGGAGGTGGTCACGGAGGAGGTGGCCATGGAGGAGGTGGTCATGGAGGAGGCGGACACCATGGTTGAAAGATCCAAGGATCATAATATTCACATCAAATGCTGGACATTTGATATCACATTTGTGGATTTCACTTACCATGCTGCATCCAACCAATCTGTATATTCCTCAACAAGTACAAATAAAGCTGTGATTTATACTGTAATGATTTCTTTGCTTTAATATTTTTCAAGTACAATCCTAATTCAGGACTTACTTTTGAACCATGCGAGTGAATGGTTAGGTGGCGTCCACCTAACTTATATTTTAAACCGTCCAATCGAAAGGTGACACACGTGTGTCAGTGCAATCATGCACTGAAGATAACAACAGGAGCTTGTGTGGTAGTGCTGATTTCCAGCCGTGCAACGACACGTTCTACATAAAAGGGCCAAAACCAAATATAAATGATGGTTCTTTTTTCAAGAGTCTAGCACAATATGAATGTTCAAGTAAACAGACTTCCCCTTAGAAGGCCCTATACCGCAGTTACCTCCCCTGAATTTTACTATGACCCGGAAGGCCAAGAAGTTATACTACACCAAATCAGATCCCGTCATTTAAGAACTCTTCCTAGGGAGCCTTCAGTGCAGGCAGAATCATCTGATGGCTGTGATTGGATGATTTTTGTGTTTGTTAAAAGTGTATTCATTCGGTGAATAAAACTGACCATACTTTTTCAATATTTAGTGCAGTCTTTTTAACACAATGACTTTGGCCGAATGTTTGCAGAGATATGTTCAAGCAAGTGACATTTGGTGCGGAACTGGTGTTGGTGTGTTCAACTTCCACTACCCGAAAAGGAAGTGGTTACCTAGTCAACATATGTGTTTTATCGTGGCTTTCAGGCCATACTTTGCGTATATATCCATTCAATGCCTGTTAACGACCTGCTATCATCAAGAGGTGATACAAGGGTTTAGATTGTCAGTTGCACCCGCCAGTGCCTGTTGTAAACTATCACCACGTACATGTTCCTGTTGAGAGAGTGCTTACACCATGTATTCGTTTGATCATTTAGTGTCGTCATGTCCACGTGTGGTGTTCAAGAGCTGCTCGTTTTCGACTCTTCAGAAAACTGAATTACATTTAAGCATTTTGTAAGGTTTGAGCCAAATAACATTTCACGCAACCTGAACTTTCACACCCAAATATACACTTGCACATACACACAAACCTGACACACCTACACAGTACACTAACGTACACAAACGCTATCAAGAAAACACACTCTATGAAGTTAAATGAGAGAGTTTGATGACAGGGTTGACATGATTTCCCTAAAAACAATTATGTGTTTTAGGCCAGGAAACCGAAAATGTGTGCCCGGTGAGTGCACATGTCCTGAGCTTTCACTCTGCTGGTATTATTCTGTATTTTTGTGTGTCTACCCAAATGTATACTTCGGGCGCCATAGCGAGCCCATGCTGCCTCAACTTCCGTGACCGTGTCAGGATAGCTATCGGTGGCATCAATGCCTGGGGACATGGGATGAGATTTCTTTCATTTAAGAGATGGGAGATTTGTAACTGTTGCACTACCTGAGCTTACGGTTACCAATAGATATATTTGACATTTGCTAATAAGAGAAAAGGAAAGCGTTTCTAGAAGGCAATGTGATTTTGAAATAAAAAGGTAGGAATTTCAATTTTGAAAATATATCTTTAACTTGAAACACGCCACTTCATATTAAGTATAATCATGAAAAATGAATAATTTGCTTCCCATAACCTGTGCCATTAAACATCTAGTGTTTGTCATACGTTGCTGAACGTTCTTGACTCCAGTAACGGTAGCACACTAGACTCAGTACTTGCACTTAACGCAATAGTGAAGTTCAACATTTATCGTCCATTTTATACATTCTCTCTCCATTCATTTTTTCAGTTCTCCTCTGTAGCTGCAATTGCATTGGATGAACCATGCAGTCTGAATTGCTTCCCAACAGTGAGCTGGCCACAGGGTGCCAGGTGAGGTCACAAATCCACAGCTTGCTTTTTATAATTATGCAGGAAGATATGCATAATATAGAGAGGCAGGCGACACCGTCCCGTGCCCAATTACATAATAAAGATTCACTTTTCACGCTGTATAGTTGTAAAAAGTGTTTTTGGAATTTTAATTTCTAAAATCTTCCAGTGTGGGCATGTACATTCAGCATCCTGTTTTCCCGTACCACAAGTATATAAAGGTCTGGTGAATCACAAAAGCGACATTCAAATCGTTTATTCTCTCGTGGATAAACGTAACAGGCAGGATGCGTATTCTTAACGTTGCAGTTGTCGTAGTCTTGGGTAAGTTTTCTCATCTGTTGACATCTCTCATTGCTAAAACTCCTAATGATCAAATGTAGTAGCTATTGATGAGTTTAATGTGGCTTTACAATTATGTTGACAACCTTATGATTGGGGAAGTGTTTACCATGGTCTAATCATGTATCGTGATTGGTAGCGGGATTTTGTATGGGTCATTTGTCCTGTCATATATATGACCACTTACGTATTTGTTTCTTTACATTCTTCACAGTCTTCCTTGGCTCCGTCTTTGGTGGCCATGGTGGTGGTGGCCATGGAGGCGGAGGCCATGGTGGTGGTGGTGGCCATGGAGGTGGAGGCCATGGTGGTGGTGGCCATGGAGGTGGAGGCCATGGTGGTGGTGGCCATGGAGGTGGAGGGCCACGGTGGTGGTGGTCATGGAGGCGGCGGCCATGGTGGTGGTCATGGAGGCGGCGGCCATGGTGGTGGTCATGGAGGTGGCGGCCATGGAGGAGGCCACGGAGGAGGTGGTCACGGAGGAGGTGGCGGCCATGGAGGAGGGCCACGGAGGAGGTGGTCACGGAGGAGGTGGCCATGGAGGAGGTGGTCATGGAGGAGGCGGACACCATGGTTGAAAGATCCAAGGATCATAATATTCACATCAAATGCTGGACATTTGATATCACATTTGTGGATTTCACTTACCATGCTGCATCCAACCAATCTGTATATTCCTCAACAAGTACAAATAAAGCTGTGATTTATACTGTAATGATTTCTTTGCTTTAATATTTTTCAAGTACAATCCTAATTCAGGACTTACTTTTGAACCATGCGAGTGAATGGTTAGGTGGCGTCCACCTAACTTATATTTTAAACCGTCCAATCGAAAGGTGACACACGTGTGTCAGTGCAATCATGCACTGAAGATAACAACAGGAGCTTGTGTGGTAGTGCTGATTTCCAGCCGTGCAACGACACGTTCTACATAAAAGGGCCAAAACCAAATATAAATGATGGTTCTTTTTTCAAGAGTCTAGCACAATATGAATGTTCAAGTAAACAGACTTCCCCTTAGAAGGCCCTATACCGCAGTTACCTCCCCTGAATTTTACTATGACCCGGAAGGCCAAGAAGTTATACTACACCAAATCAGATCCCGTCATTTAAGAACTCTTCCTAGGGAGCCTTCAGTGCAGGCAGAATCATCTGATGGCTGTGATTGGATGATTTTTGTGTTTGTTAAAAGTGTATTCATTCGGTGAATAAAACTGACCATACTTTTTCAATATTTAGTGCAGTCTTTTTAACACAATGACTTTGGCCGAATGTTTGCAGAGATATGTTCAAGCAAGTGACATTTGGTGCGGAACTGGTGTTGGTGTGTTCAACTTCCACTACCCGAAAAGGAAGTGGTTACCTAGTCAACATATGTGTTTTATCGTGGCTTTCAGGCCATACTTTGCGTATATATCCATTCAATGCCTGTTAACGACCTGCTATCATCAAGAGGTGATACAAGGGTTTAGATTGTCAGTTGCACCCGCCAGTGCCTGTTGTAAACTATCACCACGTACATGTTCCTGTTGAGAGAGTGCTTACACCATGTATTCGTTTGATCATTTAGTGTCGTCATGTCCACGTGTGGTGTTCAAGAGCTGCTCGTTTTCGACTCTTCAGAAAACTGAATTACATTTAAGCATTTTGTAAGGTTTGAGCCAAATAACATTTCACGCAACCTGAACTTTCACACCCAAATATACACTTGCACATACACACAAACCTGACACACCTACACAGTACACTAACGTACACAAACGCTATCAAGAAAACACACTCTATGAAGTTAAATGAGAGAGTTTGATGACAGGGTTGACATGATTTCCCTAAAAAACAATTATGTGTTTTAGGCCAGGAAACCGAAAATGTGTGCCCGGTGAGTGCACATGTCCTGAGCTTTCACTCTGCTGGTATTATTCTGTATTTTTGTGTGTCTACCCAAATGTATACTTCGGGCGCCATAGCGAGCCCATGCTGCCTCAACTTCCGTGACCGTGTCAGGATAGCTATCGGTGGCATCAATGCCTGGGGACATGGGATGAGATTTCTTTCATTTAAGAGATGGGAGATTTGTAACTGTTGCACTACCTGAGCTTACGGTTACCAATAGATATATTTGACATTTGCTAATAAGAGAAAAGGAAAGCGTTTCTAGAAGGCAATGTGATTTTGAAATAAAAAGGTAGGAATTTCAATTTTGAAAATATATCTTTAACTTGAAACACGCCACTTCATATTAAGTATAATCATGAAAAATGAATAATTTGCTTCCCATAACCTGTGCCATTAAACATCTAGTGTTTGTCATACGTTGCTGAACGTTCTTGACTCCAGTAACGGTAGCACACTAGACTCAGTACTTGCACTTAACGCAATAGTGAAGTTCAACATTTATCGTCCATTTTATACATTCTCTCTCCATTCATTTTTCAGTTCTCCTCTGTAGCTGCAATTGCATTGGATGAACCATGCAGTCTGAATTGCTTCCCAACAGTGAGCTGGCCACAGGGTGCCAGGTGAGGTCACAAATCCACAGCTTGCTTTTATAATTATGCAGGAAGATATGCATAATATAGAGAGGCAGGCGACACCGTCCCGTGCCCAATTACATAATAAAGATTCACTTTTCACGCTGTATAGTTGTAAAAAGTGTTTTTGGAATTTTAATTTCTAAAATCTTCCAGTGTGGGCATGTACATTCAGCATCCTGTTTTCCCGTACCACAAGTATATAAAGGTCTGGTGAATCACAAAAGCGACATTCAAATCGTTTATTCTCTCGTGGATAAACGTAACAGGCAGGATGCGTATTCTTAACGTTGCAGTTGTCGTAGTCTTGGGTAAGTTTTCTCATCTGTTGACATCTCTCATTGCTAAAACTCCTAATGATCAAATGTAGTAGCTATTGATGAGTTTAATGTGGCTTTACAATTATGTTGACAACCTTATGATTGGGGAAGTGTTTACCATGGTCTAATCATGTATCGTGATTGGTAGCGGGATTTTGTATGGGTCATTTGTCCTGTCATATATATGACCACTTACGTATTTGTTTCTTTACATTCTTCACAGTCTTCCTTGGCTCCGTCTTTGGTGGCCATGGTGGTGGTGGCCATGGAGGCGGAGGCCATGGTGGTGGTGGTGGCCATGGAGGTGGAGGCCATGGTGGTGGTGGCCATGGAGGTGGAGGCCATGGTGGTGGTGGCCATGGAGGTGGAGGCCACGGTGGTGGTGGCCATGGAGGTGGAGGCCATGGTGGTGGTCATGGAGGCGGCGGCCATGGTGGTGGTCATGGAGGTGGCGGCCATGGAGGAGGCCACGGAGGAGGTGGTCACGGAGGAGGTGGCGGCCATGGAGGAGGCCACGGAGGAGGTGGTCACGGAGGAGGTGGCCATGGAGGAGGTGGTCATGGAGGAGGCGGACACCATGGTTGAAAGATCCAAGGATCATAATATTCACATCAAATGCTGGACATTTGATATCACATTTGTGGATTTCACTTACCATGCTGCATCCAACCAATCTGTATATTCCTCAACAAGTACAAATAAAGCTGTGATTTATACTGTAATGATTTCTTTGCTTTAATATTTTTCAAGTACAATCCTAATTCAGGACTTACTTTTGAACCATGCGAGTGAATGGTTAGGTGGCGTCCACCTAACTTATATTTTAAACCGTCCAATCGAAAGGTGACACACGTGTGTCAGTGCAATCATGCACTGAAGATAACAACAGGAGCTTGTGTGGTAGTGCTGATTTCCAGCCGTGCAACGACACGTTCTACATAAAAGGGCCAAAACCAAATATAAATGATGGTTCTTTTTTCAAGAGTCTAGCACAATATGAATGTTCAAGTAAACAGACTTCCCCTTAGAAGGCCCTATACCGCAGTTACCTCCCCTGAATTTTACTATGACCCGGAAGGCCAAGAAGTTATACTACACCAAATCAGATCCCGTCATTTAAGAACTCTTCCTAGGGAGCCTTCAGTGCAGGCAGAATCATCTGATGGCTGTGATTGGATGATTTTTGTGTTTGTTAAAAGTGTATTCATTCGGTGAATAAAACTGACCATACTTTTTCAATATTTAGTGCAGTCTTTTTTAACACAATGACTTTGGCCGAATGTTTGCAGAGATATGTTCAAGCAAGTGACATTTGGTGCGGAACTGGTGTTGGTGTGTTCAACTTCCACTACCCGAAAAGGAAGTGGTTACCTAGTCAACATATGTGTTTTATCGTGGCTTTCAGGCCATACTTTGCGTATATATCCATTCAATGCCTGTTAACGACCTGCTATCATCAAGAGGTGATACAAGGGTTTAGATTGTCAGTTGCACCCGCCAGTGCCTGTTGTAAACTATCACCACGTACATGTTCCTGTTGAGAGAGTGCTTACACCATGTATTCGTTTGATCATTTAGTGTCGTCATGTCCACGTGTGGTGTTCAAGAGCTGCTCGTTTTCGACTCTTCAGAAAACTGAATTACATTTAAGCATTTTGTAAGGTTTGAGCCAAATAACATTTCACGCAACCTGAACTTTCACACCCAAATATACACTTGCACATACACACAAACCTGACACACCTACACAGTACACTAACGTACACAAACGCTATCAAGAAAACACACTCTATGAAGTTAAATGAGAGAGTTTGATGACAGGGTTGACATGATTTCCCTAAAACAATTATGTGTTTTAGGCCAGGAAACCGAAAATGTGTGCCCGGTGAGTGCACATGTCCTGAGCTTTCACTCTGCTGGTATTATTCTGTATTTTTGTGTGTCTACCCAAATGTATACTTCGGGCGCCATAGCGAGCCCATGCTGCCTCAACTTCCGTGACCGTGTCAGGATAGCTATCGGTGGCATCAATGCCTGGGGACATGGGATGAGATTTCTTTCATTTAAGAGATGGGAGATTTGTAACTGTTGCACTACCTGAGCTTACGGTTACCAATAGATATATTTGACATTTGCTAATAAGAGAAAAGGAAAGCGTTTCTAGAAGGCAATGTGATTTTGAAATAAAAGGTAGGAATTTCAATTTTGAAAATATATCTTTAACTTGAAACACGCCACTTCATATTAAGTATAATCATGAAAAATGAATAATTTGCTTCCCATAACCTGTGCCATTAAACATCTAGTGTTTGTCATACGTTGCTGAACGTTCTTGACTCCAGTAACGGTAGCACACTAGACTCAGTACTTGCACTTAACGCAATAGTGAAGTTCAACATTTATCGTCCATTTTATACATTCTCTCTCCATTCATTTTTTCAGTTCTCCTCTGTAGCTGCAATTGCATTGGATGAACCATGCAGTCTGAATTGCTTCCCAACAGTGAGCTGGCCACAGGGTGCCAGGTGAGGTCACAAATCCACAGCTTGCTTTTTATAATTATGCAGGAAGATATGCATAATATAGAGAGGCAGGCGACACCGTCCCGTGCCAAATTACATAATAAAGATTCACTTTTCACGCTGTATAGTTGTAAAAAGTGTTTTTGGAATTTTAATTTCTAAAATCTTCCAGTGTGGGCATGTACATTCAGCATCCTGTTTTCCCGTACCACAAGTATATAAAGGTCTGGTGAATCACAAAAGCGACATTCAAATCGTTTATTCTCTCGTGGATAAACGTAACAGGCAGGATGCGTATTCTTAACGTTGCAGTTGTCGTAGTCTTCATCTGTTGACATCTCTCGTTGCATCTCCTTGACATCTCTCTATTGCTAAAATGTCTACATGATCAAATGTAGTAGCTATTGATGAGTTTAATGTGGCTTTACAATTATGTTGATTTGTTTCAACCTTATGATTGGGGAAGTGTTTACCATGGTCTAAATCAAAGTATTTCGTTTTGCATTTTGGATCGGGATTTCACTGTATGGTTCAACATCTACATAGCATTTAACGTCTTCGTCATATATATGACTTCAATAGTCTTGTTTTTGTGCTTGTGTCATTGTATGTCTGTTTTTTTGTGTGTGTGCATTCACATCTGATGATGGTAGCGCAGTGAAATTCCTTGGCAGGGTTTGGCAAAATGGATACACAAATCAGAGAGTATACTGACTGCAAGCAGGCAAGTTCTTCTTTCATCCCATTTTTGAGAAGTCTTTTGGTAATACAGGACCAAGGATGAAACACTGGACCTTCTGCTCTTCAGGAAAATGTGCTGTCCACCAGGAGCGGTGGGGTAGCCTTGTCGTTAAAGTGTTCGCCAATCATGCAGAAGACCCGGGTTCAACTGCCCACTTGGGTACATTGTGTGAAGGTGAAGCCCATGTCTGTGTTTCCCCTATGATGTTGCTGGAGTATTTCTGAAAATGTTGTAAAACCCAACTCACTCACTCACTAACTCTGTCCACTGGACGATGAATTCAGTCTTGTTCTGTGAACTAATCTAGAAAGAATACAAACAATGTTCATCGCAAAAATATTAATTTATTCACCATGATATAGAAGTTAATGACTTCAATAATTATCAATATTGTTGGACAATTGTACCATTAACAGGTCGAATTAGATGGTGTCACTGATTCGATCACCTGAATTTCAAGCTCAGTGACAGCCTTGAGTGATTTATTATACAGATCAACAGCCTCAATCTGGTATGTAATAGTCTGTGGGTCAAGGGTCGAGGCCATATCCGTGGTAACAACCACCCCTGTCTTTTCATTGATATGAAAATATCCCAGATTATCTCCCTTCATTGTGTAATGGTACACAGAGTCTCTCTCATCCACATTGTCAAATGCAAAGGGTGTTGCCACTACAGTTCGAGGTGGGAAGACATCTGACACCATATGCTTATATTTTGGCAGGGGAAATTTGGGGGGGTTGTCGTTGATGTCGTCAACAATAACACTGATGTCTCTGGTGACGTTGAATGGAGGTGTTCCCTTGTCTGTTGCTCGGACTTTGAAGGTGTAATATTTGGGTCCATGGTCTCGATCTATACGCTCTGAACATGTGATGGCACCATCGGCTTCCACCTTGAAAGGCACTGCAAGAGAAATAGTATTAATAACAGATATAAAAACATTATTCTTGACAGATGATAATCTGTGTCATTAACAGTCACAAAACACTGTTATTAATGATAAGAAACAATATCCTTGATAGATAAAAATCAGTGTCATCAACAGACAAGAAACACTGTTATTAATGATAAGAAACAATATCTTTGATAGATGAGAATTAGTGACATGCACCAACAAACAAACAAACACATCCTGCTGAACTCTTAAGTGACATGCACCAACAAACAAACACATCCTGCTGAACTCTAAAGTGACATGCACCAACAAACAAACACATCCTGCTGAACGCTAAAGTGACATGCACCAACAAACAAACACATCCTGCTGAACTCTAAAGTGACATGCACCAACAAACAAACAAACACATCCTGCTGAACTCTAAGGTGACATGCACCAACAAACAAACACATCCTGCTGAACGCTAAGGTGACATGCACCAACAAACAAACACATCCTGCTGAACTCTAAGGTGACATGCACCAACAAACAAACAAACACATGCTGCTGAACGCTAAAGTGACATGCACCAACAAACAAACACATCCTGCTGAACGCTAAGGTGACATGCACCAACAAACAAACACATCCTGCTGAACTCTAAGGTGACATGCACCAACAAACAAACAAACACATGCTGCTGAACGCTAAAGTGACATGCACCAATAAACAAACACATCCTGCTGAACTCTAAAGTGACATGCACCAACAAACACATCCCACTGAACTCTAAAGTGACATGCACCAACAAACAAACAAACACATCCTGCTGAACGCTAAGGTGACATGCACCAACAAACACATCCCACTGAACGCTAAGGTGACATGCACCAACAAACACATCCCACTGAACGCTAAGGTGACATGCACCAACAAACACATCCTGCTGAACTCTAAAGTGACATGCACCAACAAACAAACACATCCTGCTGAACTCTAAAGTGACATGCATCAACAAACAAACAAACACATCCTGCTGAACTCTAAAGTGACATGCACCAACAAACAAACAGACACATCCTGCTGAACTCTAAGGTGACATGCACCAACAAACAAACAAACACATCCTGCTGAACGCTAAAGTGACATGCACCAACAAACAAACACATCCTGCTGAACTCTAAAGTGACATGCACCAACAAACAAACAGACACATCCTGCTGAACTCTAAGGTGACATGCACCAACAAACAAACAAACACATCCTGTTGAACACTAAAACAAACAAACATGCACCAACAAACAAACACATCCTGCTGAACGCTAAGGTGACATGCACCAACAAACAAACAAACACATCCTGCTGAACGCTAAAGTGACATGCACCAACAAACAAACACATCCTGCTGAACTCTAAGGTGACATGCACCAACAAACAAACAAACACATCCTGCTGAACGCTAAAGTAACATGCACCAACAAACAAACACATCTTGCTGAACGCTAAAGTGACATGCACGAACAAACCAACACATCCTGCTGAACTCTAAAGTGACATGCACCAACAAACAAACACATCCTGCTGATCTCTAAAGTGACATGCACCAACAAACAAACACATCCTGCTGAACTCTAAAGTGACATGCACCAACAAACAAACACATCCTGCTGAACTCTAAAGTGACATGCACCAACAAACAAACGAACACATCCTGCCCACCTGTGATGCCAGTGTGCAGCAATTCCAGCATCACAGCACTGCTCCCCTCCTTGTCCTCATCCACCACATTCAAGCGACCAACAACGGCTCCAATGGGAATCTCCTCCCGCGTTACAAACATCGTCTCCCCTTTGAAGTCAGGAGGATGGTCGTTAAAGTCAAAGTAGGGTGCTCGGACGATGACTTTAGTCTGAGCTTTACGTGAGGGGTAGCCAAGGTCTCTTGCCTCCACTGTCACCCTGTACACGTCCTTGCGAGGTTTGGAGAAAAAACTTGGCAGCAGTATTAAGTCTCCTGGAATATATTATAAACAGTTAAACTTCTGGCCCCACCCCACAAAGTGATCGTAGCGCTACAACTGTTATCAGTTAATGGTAAAGTATTCCAGTTATGATTGTCCTAGCACTGAGATTATTTCCTGGAACACGCCCTGATTAGGAACACCAGTATTTACATAAAAACATCAACTGGGCTGCATCAAGAACGATCTGCGAAGATCCAGGTCAAAATTGGTCTTCAGCAACATATGCTTGTCATAAGAGGCAACTAATGGGATCCAGTGGTCAAGCTGGCTGACTTGGCTGACACAATCATGTGATCATATCCCAATTGGACAGATTGATGCTCATGGTGTCAGTCACTGTATTGTCTGGTCCATGCTCAATAATATACAGACCGTCATTATATAACTGGCAAATGTCTGATGGCGGTATTAAACAACAAACAAACAACATTTATCAAGAACATTCAACATTTTCTTAGGCCACACTTTTTTTATTATTTGGTTACGGATCTGAGGACCGTAATTTTTGCTACAGTGTAAATTTATTAAAAAGTCTATTTTTTTAATAGTGCCGATAAATAAAATCCAAATAAATAATGTAAAACTCTACTTTATTGAAATCGTGTGTTTCTGTTACTAATTTAGCAGTGTTGCAAAACAACATTTTAAATATTGAAACAATTAAAAACACCAAATTAATGTTACCAAGTGAAAATGCTGGGGTTTTTTAAACCCTGTTATAGTAGGAAATGTACGGAACCGTCGTTGGGCCACAGTGGATTTTTTTGTGTGTGTGTCACTGTCTCCTTCGTAGGCATTATTAAGTCCTACGTAGGCCATACTATCTCCTAAAGCACAACAACAAAATTGAGATACTTAATATCTCCTACGTAGGACTTAACTCATTAAGCCCGAGAGCCCCATCACTACTCAACACCTGGAAGCCCTCGCTGATTGCCCACTCTCTGTGCCGAGACTAATTAGTGCTAGTCACACCTGATTTCCCTGGCAGGTTTCGTGGATCACAGGAAACTGTCTAGTCGTACAAACAAGTCCTGATTGTTTAATTGTGTCGTAAGGATATATGTTGAAAGAAATCAGGTGTGAATACATGTCGTGTATTGCAAGCTTTATGTAATTTTATTGCAAGTTTCTCTTGTAGACCTTTTGTCGGCTTGTACATTTATATTTTATCACAATATGCATACACATGTATTCTTTGTATGTAACAGATGAGACACACGTTAACAAATTCTCTCTCTTATATCATTGTGTGAGGTTTAAATTTACAAAACATCTATGACAATGACATACTGTAAAGAAGAATTTACTTTCATACTTTATAATCTTCAACGAAAATAGCGGTTTTGCCGATACATTTCTAGTGTTTACGAATTATTTCAATGAAAGTACTATAACGCTAGTCTGTGACTAGCACAAAGCACATTCATAGCATTGCACTTTATTTCATACAGATTTAATGCAGAAAACATACGTGACCATACAAACATACATATACAAAATGTATACTACATATTCCTTGCATAGACATAAAACAAAGAGTCACGTGATAGGGCGTCATCAAATTTCCTGAATAGAACGTTCGGTATCTCAACTGTTCAAAGTAGTGGCTGGTCATATGTTATCTGCGACCAATCGTATCATGAGATACCTGTCACAGAGGAAAGGACAGGTGATGGGGCGTGGGCGAAATTTCTGAAGAGCACGTTTGGTCACTCAGCAGCTTGGATAGAGATTGGTTATTGGCTATATCCTTGACCAGTCGATATGCTGGGTTTCGGCTTTATCAACTCAAGCTATCATGTAACAGTTTGTGTATTGTAAACATACACACTGGTATCTCAACTGTTCAGTATAGTGGCTGGTCATATGTTATCTGCGACCAATCGTATCATGAGATACCTGTCACAGAGGAAAGGACAGGTGATGGGGAGTGGGCGAAATTTCTGAAGAGCACGTTTGGTCACTCAGCAGCTTGGATAGAGATTGGTTATTGGCTATATCCTTGAACAGTCGATATGCTGGGTTTCGGCTTTATCAACTCAAGCTATCATGTAACAGTTTGTGTATTGTAAACATACACACTGGTAACGATGTATGAAATATACACATAAGACAAATAGGAGTAGATAGTCACTTTGGCGAGTTTATTTGTCCTCATTTTAGTGTTTTTCGATAAGTAAAACAAAGCGATTGAAATATTTAGTATTTATTTTCATATACATTTTATGCACACAACTAGTACATAAAACATAATGGTTTGCTGTACATGTAAATATAATCTTCACCTTGATACGAATGACTATCCAAACTAGAGTACACGCATTACAGAATTCACGAGGTGACACTTTACTGAATTATTATAGTGTATAAACTTGCAGTTGACACCCCAACCCCCAATATTTATGAAGGTGGGCGTGCCTATATCTTTACTGAATGCAAACGAGGTTCATAAGATTACAGATGTGCATGCATGTATAAACATCACAGAGAGGGGCGTGACTCCATAAAGCAAGATGTCCAATGATATAACAGCGCATCTGTTTATTTTACACTTGTCACGGGACAAACCTTTCAACAAGGACGTAACTACATATGCATTCTACCGGAGGCTGTTATTTCAAGGTCGAAAGAGACGTTCAATTATCTCATTACTGTAATCTGCTTGAATGATTATACGCATGTGTATCGATACCGTAACTGATATACTATCCAGCTGTTATTGACGATGGATCAATAGAGACTGAGTTGATTGATACAGGTGATAATTGCACCGGATTTGATAATTACACAGATCAAATACAAACGTTTTACAGAATGCTCATGTAAATTGCATAGAAAACTGACAATTCAAATCAACATGAAACTTTCAACAGCTTGAACAAAAATGCTTGAAATACCTTTGTATGGCTTACATGTAATAACTTATGATATTACTTCTGTCCATGTGTGACAATGTTTTAAATTACCAACTTATTGTCTTTTGTAACAAACGTAGTAAATCATTTCATTGTTGTAATAACACTGACATGTATATATGTATTCGATGCAAAGGCGCGACCTATCACTTTATATTCGCTTAGGTAACATTACGAACTTAAGATTATGAAAAACAACTAGTTACAATTCAGTAAACTTCAAATTAGTAAGTTCAATTATGTTTAACCTATTCGAGCTTGGATGTATAATTACTTGTGTTTATACATTATGTTTCAGTATATGAAACATGACAACGTAATGATGCCTAAAAAGTAAATTCAAACTATTCTATTGTAATTGAATTCTTTGTATGTCCTTGAAATTTCGTATATTGTTTCCTATTTATTAGGTAGTTGAAGGAAATATAATTTTTAGTAACCTCTAAACCATTACATCTAATTCAATCAAGGTGCATACGAAGTATTTTAGTATCCATTCCCAAGGAAGAGTACCAGGCACTTACCTCTGTAAAAACATCATAATCCCCTTTCTTGCAGACATGCGTTCATTTGCTAAACGCTGTACAAGCCTATGATAATGATTAGCAATTGTTATCAAAACACTTTAAATACTTCTTCTGATTGATACTAAAGGTGGGATCTCTCGTAAGAAAAGCTAACATTTGCTCAGTACTGCTAAATTGGTTGAAATAATAGGTACAGTGCGATTTTTAAAAGTACAACACACATGTGCGTCTCTCGCTGAATAAGAGGTGCTTTCTGTTGACGACTGTATGGGTCTCTCGCTGTGAGAAACTGCTAATTACCTGCCCCATAAACACGTCACTCGCTGTGAGGAGCTGATTAATTTGCCCCATATATGCGTCTTAATGAGTTAAAGTACTGTCGGAAATAGAAAAAAACCTGTTTTTAGGCTGTTACTCTGTACCACTAAAATTTACACAATTGCAAATAGCATATGTCGAAATAACCCACATCGGCCTAACTGGGCATTCAGGGGGATGCGTAATAGGATATCTAGAAAAGCATGTTTACTCGTAAAATCGAGCAAAACTTAGAAAAAATATGAAAAGCTGCTGAAAACAATAGATCAGACTATAGATGGCAATTAGGTCGCTCAGCCAGGTATGACGACGGACCGTCGACTCACATGGCATGAAATGCACATGCTGCCCACATCGACAAGGGGTCATCTCAAAGATATTTTATGTTTTTTCATGTGTATTGAATATGTCTCTATTGATTGTCTTATCTTAGCTGATATCTCAGTTCCCCAGCCCGACCCCAACAACCGTCTGAGACACCCGTCCTGGTTTTGCTTTTGAGACGACCCCTCCTACCTGTTTCTTTTTATAGTGATAGTGAGATGTCTTGGTAGCTACATCCTTAATAGTTTCAGTATTAAAGTTATTATTTTTTACGTCTGCTATCGTTTATAATGAAGCTAAGTCTAATTTCAAAATGATCATTTAAAAGAGTCCTTTGTAATACAATATCATCGCACACTAATTTGCATAAAGCCATGGTCTGTTCTGAATACGTCGCATTGGACTTTAAAAAACCCTGCATTGCTCATTTCTGCACTAATCTCTCCTCAGTAAAACCCTTCTTTTACGTTTCCTATTACCCACCCACTGTGACTGTACATAGGCCGAACTTAGTTTAACAGATATTTCACACTTTCACATATTAACAACCTAACTTGTAGATATAAATGTGAAAGAACATTTTTTTTTCTATTTCCGACAGTACTTTAGTACCTCTTACGTAGGTCTTAGTATCTCTTACGTAGGACATACTCCTACATCTATTTAATATATCCTTTTTAAGGTACGGATTATGTAGTATGGTTATTATGTTGAGAAATATTTGGCTGTGCAGGAGGTTCGATAGTAGAAATGCAAGTCAGTGAATATTCATGACACTAACACAGTGTTACTATATAGTGTTAGTGTGTGTATTACGTGGACCTTGTTCTTATTGCAGTTATAGAGGTTTGGGCATGGTTATGTTTGATCTATCATACATGCATCTATTCACACACGCACGCATGCACGTACGCATACACACACACACAGAGGTGGGGGGGAGAATTGAGGTTCTGATATGAAACTCTGATTATAATATAACACTAGTCTCTCGTACAGACCCTGAAGCAAATATATCCAAGAAAGCCCACACAAGTCTAGAAAATGTGGCAAGTCTAGATTTCCTCAGCTTCGAAAATGAAGAAAATCTCAGGGCTCCTTTTCATTATATATTTTTTTTTTACTATCAACTTTTTTCAGTAAAATATGTTCATTTCAGAGACTAGTTGTTAGTCTAAATATAACTCGTACTAAGCAAGTTATTGCTTGTCTTCAGAAGGAGTTAGGTTGGATCGGATACAACGCTCGTTTGCGTTTGCTCTTTCAGGATTGTTTACAGGTTGACTTGACTGGGGTGGAAAAGTGTTGAGTGCGGCGTAAAAAATACGAAATTCAAAAGGGCAAAGAATTGTCATTATAGTTGTTTGTATAAGAAGAAGGGTATAAGTATGCATAGATTGCCACCGATCTTCTAAGACACGTCTGTGCCCGCAGATTATGACTCATTTGCCACGACCTCTGAAATATCCAACGCATAATAGTAAAGTGTAACAAAGTGCAACATAATATAAGGGTAATGCTATTTTTGAGGGCATTATCATTTGCAGAAGTCCTAGGTTTTCTATTAACTGCCCGACGAAGGAGCGCAGTTGAAAAAGACAGAGAGCTTCTGCAAATGATAATGCCCTTAAAAATAGCATTACCATTATTACTGCTAAAATACATGGAATTTGTGTTGAAAAGACAAAAAGGAAACAATGAAGGAATTTCACTGTAAGTTTACTCAAAACAAACTTCTGACAGGGTTGACTGACCGAATGCAATTACGTCATTGAACAATTTAAGTGAGGTCACAACAGAACGTGACGATATTCGACCTTGGCCTTTGACAAGACCATGGCCTGCAACATATCAAACTATCAAACTAACGCAATGTTTCCACCAGTGATGTTAGCCGAGTGAAGCAACGGCAAACTAAGAAACGGGGTGCTACGGAGTAGTTTAATGTAGGAGACTGTACGAGGCGATGACAACTGACATGCATCGTGACATCAGTTACCATGGGAGCAGACGAGAATGGCGTAGTGACATCAATACAGTGTGACGTCAGGCAAAAGTGAACTACAGAACAAAATTCTTATGCAACCTCTTTATGAAACCGGTTTTTGTTTTGTCAATTTAATGCATGCAAAACGTGGGTAATAAATAAAATACCACAATTGGACTCATTACATACGAATTATAGGTAACTTGTGACCTTCCTATGGTTTCTGACCTCGCTTTCGCTCGGTCAGATACCATAGGAAGGACACTTGTTTCGTATAATTCGTATATAATGAGACCTTGTGTAGTATTCTCTATGAACTAACTGCAATGCGTTATAGTAGAGCAAACTGAACACAAGGCAGTAAAGTATAAGAGTCGGTCCAACACATGACAGTAATGTGCAACAACTAGTTGAACACATTACTCTAATAATGAAGGAAACAGTAGTAAATGAAACACATGATAGTAGACTCTAACAGTGACTGAAACAGTGAAACAGGAGATTGTTTGCCTGTCTGGGGATTTAAGTCAACCATTTCAGATTAATGTATATTAATATATATATATCGCTCATGTCCTACAGGAGATATTAAGTACTACATAAGAGATAGTATGTCCTACGAAGGAGATACTAAGTACAGTCGAACACCGTTGTCTCGATATTTACGGGACCAGGAAAAAATATCGACTTATCCGAATATCGACACATCCGAGTTGGGCATATCATCACATACCAACGTGAAAGATATGAAAGAAAACAAAAGAAAACAGTAGATTGCATGTCTATTATTTATTTGTCCTCACAGAGATCCCAAATTCACATGGTAATTTCGTCATAGTGTCCATTTTGAAATATACAAAAGTTGGATTTACTCCACAAACGAAGTGAAGAAATCAGAAAGTTTTAACTGACGGGCATTTGGTGCTGGCATGAATGCAATACTGGTCAAGCACTCTTGATACAAAAGAAGTCCTTGTGTTATTCGACCTCCATCTCTCGATTCCGCGCCTCTTTGATTTTCTGAGAATTCTTTATCCATGTTGAAAGTGTGTTCTGGGGAACGCCAAATTCTTTAGCAATCTCCTGTTTTTTTCCACCATTCTCAGCCGTGATGATAGCTTCATACTAGGTCTCGATCTTCTTAACTGTTAAATTTCTCTTTTTAGGTGTACCAACATCGAGATCTAGTTATCCCCCAAGATAAGCTGGGTCCTTTGCTAGCTTGCTCAGACATGATGATAACCGTACTGACAAACCTACCATTTGGTAACATTTTATAGCCCCACAACACAATAGCGTTCAATTGACTCCTAATCCGCATTTCTCAGTCGGCAATTTAGTAAAAACTCAACAATCAATTGCTTGTCACGTGATGACACAAGTCCCTGATTAGGTTCTCACTATGTTTTGATTCGATACTATAATCCGTTATCAGGGGGTGTTGAAATTGGGAGTACATCCTAGTTAGATAAACAAACAAGTGACACCTACAACTCAATTAGCCTTAATTAGCTTACACTACCGCTACCTTTGATTCATGCCGCAGCGTGTGTGTAAACAGGTGGAGACAGTCACAGGTCAGATGGATACTTGTCCGAGAAAGGTAGGTGTATATCGACTTTACGTGCAAATATCGAGTTAAAAGGGTAATTTTGCTTGTCGGGACCATGAAATCATATCGAGATATCCGAAATATCGAGACATCCGTATCGAGTTAAAAGGGTTCAAATAATGATAAATAATGAAGGATTTTGCCGGGACCGAGAAATTATATCGAGACAATCGAGATATCGGTTACCAGAGTTCGACACAACGATGATCGACTGTACTCCTACGTAGGAGATACTAAGTACTAAGTCCAACGTAGGAGATACTATGACCTACGTAGGAGATATTATGTCCTAAGTAGGACATAGTATCTCCTATGTAGGAGATAATAAAACGAAAAAAACTTTCACTGTGGCCCTACTACGCTTCTGTAGAAATGAGAACACCTGAATGTCTGATGGCATTATTCTAACAGCCTACATGTGGTGAAAGCCAGTTAAGGAAAAAAACTCTGAAATGGCATTTTTTTCTTATGGCTATGGTACTCTGTCATGAATGATGGGTATTGCAACATTCATCATTCCATTTGTGGGTGTTTTTCAACCTTTTAAAATAGTGTATACATATATTTCAAAACAAAAAAGAAGCAGTTTATCATGAGTTCTATCATGCATGTTATACATGTCTATCAGCATGCCAAAGTCACAGTTACTGGTTGAATTGATTGAATCTTGTTGACACCACTGTATATAGAAAAATAATCAGGGTTGATTGATTTGTGCAACAGGAGTCTGGAATGTAACAGCAACTGCAAATTCCTGGCTCATAAATTCATGTGACACTTCACCATCAAAAACAATCGAAGAGAAAATGCGCCATGGTGAAAAAAAGCATCCACTTGACAACTGGATTTGAACAAGATATTACAAATGTTATCAAAATGTTACTGGGATGAAAACAGTCACCAGAGCTAAAACATATTGCCATGAATAACCATTTTGTGTTTGCTTTATTTTCAGCCATCATCACCCATGACTGTATACTTTCTCTTTCCTGGCAATTGAGAAACAAGCCGAGAAATTACTCACTTGTCCAACAGTGATGCTTTTAACAGGGTTTTATGCGACACGCATATTGTGCATCCGGTACACACAAATGTAGAGAATGGATGCAGGAAAATATTCACTGCATCCAGAGACACCCATAATATATTTCATTGTACTCAGAACACATCTATGACTTTGCTAAGTGTTTGGTTGTTTCTTTCAGAGCAGTTACATGCATCATTTTATTCAATGATTCATTCCAGGCTCCAAAGTAATCATCAAAACGTACAGTTCTGTACACTGTAACTTCACAGGACCCTTATACTTCTGTTAGTCAAGGCAAAACCCTGTTTTGAAGTATTGCATACCTTTCTTGCATGATAACCACAAACTGACATGAAAGCCTGTTTTTTCTTAGGTTAGTGTGCTTCTTTGCTGTACATGGATAAAACTTGCACTTGCCTAATTTCCCAATTTCTAACATTGTGCTATAAAAAGAGGTCTGTAAACTAACATTTCATGTTGTCCTTTCATTTTATTCTTGTTTAAACGACTTGAAAGTAAAAGTTGACTTAAGGAACTGTAGCAACTTTTTGCCGTTGCCCTTACGCTGCTCTCCATCCATAGCAACAAAAAATAATGACCTTTGCCAAGCCAACATATACCATGCCTGCCACCAAAAACATTAAAGGGTGACACCTCTTGTTTATTTTGAAGTGAAGTGCTAATTCCCTATGACTTATTAAAACTGAATTCAAGTTACCTCAATCAACATGTCATGAAAACACAGATGTGAATCATGTGAATATTGATGTTTATAGTAGTGAGCACTCAGTGTAATTCTCTTACTCAAAAAAACAGAAAAGAGAGACCTCTGAAAACTTGTTTGTTTGATTGTTATCTGTTGACCATCAGACTCAGCACTGTTCCTGCCACAAGATGCCAGTTTGTAAATAATCGAGCCTGGACCAGACAATACAGCGATTAACATCATGAGCATTCATCAGCGCAATTGGGACAAAATGACCTGCATTGACCAAGGCAGCAAGCCTGACCACTTGATCCCCTTAGTCGCCTATTACAACAAGCATGGGTTACTGAAGACCAATTCTAACCTGGATCTTCACAGATAACTTGACATATACAGGGACGGCAACAGGAAAATTTATTTTCAGCTGAAAACTTAATATTGTGTCATTGAATGGGGATTGAAACAATTTAGAGGATTCACAGCAGAAATTGCCATCCCTGCATATAAGTGATGGAGCTGTCAAAACTATTCTCACCTGTGTTGATATCAAGCTTAAACTTTCCAAGAGGGTTGTCCTGTAGGAGATACAGGATCTTGTTGTTGGGCTCCGTGGCATCAATGTCCCTGGCAACAACCTTCCCAGCAATGTCGCCAGCATTGACTACAGAGGGTAGTGTGAAGGTGAAGCTTGTCTCAAGGAATTCTGGGTAATTGTCGTTGCTATCGGCGACATCTATGCGAAGTGTAGCAGTGGATGATAGCCAGCTGAAGCTGCGATCTCTGGCCACGATCTGGGCAAGTCAAGAAGACACTATAGTAATGTGAAGGTAAGGAAAGGCAGATTAAATGTCAAGTTCAAGATTATTGCACTTATATACTTATCATGGACCAATCCACATGATCAATGATTCATTCCAGGCTCTAAGGAAATTATCAAAACATACAGTTCTCTAAACTGTTACTTCACATGACCTTGTTTTGCCTGCAAGGATCCTTACAACAAATAATTAGGGTCCTCATTATCCCCATGTTTGTGAGTCAAGGTAAAACCCTGCCACATTCCACTCACCTTCATTTCATACGCCTCGTTAAACTCTCGGTCTATGGAACCAGGGGTTCTCACTGACAGCTGACCCGTGGCGGGGTTGTACCGAAAGAACCTGCTGGCGTAACCTTCCAGTTCTACGACAAAGTCGCGGTGAATCTCTGTTGCATCTCGGTCTATCACACTTATATTCCTGTCCTGGAAGACAAAAATGAAACAGTTCCCACACTGCTGTTCCAAAAACAGACCTCAATATAAAGTACTTCAGTATGTTCAGCCCATCAGAGTACAGTGGAATGGAGCAGAGTCTGCTGGAGAGTTGAGCAGAGTGGAAAGGAGACAAGTTGATTGGAGTGAATTCGAGCAGAGTATAAGTTGATTGTATTGTAGTTTTAGTGGAGTGGAGTGCAGCGGTGTTGTGAAGGTCATTGGGGTGAAGGTAAAGCATGGTGAAGCAAAGTTGATTGGAGCAGAGTGAAGAGATGAGAAGTTCATTGGAGTAGAGAGGAGAGGAGTTGAGTGCAGCGGTGTTGTGAAGTTGATAGGAGGGAAGTTAAAGCAGGGTGAAGTGAAGTTGATTGGAGCAGAGTGAAGAGATGAGAAGTTCATTGGAGTAGAGTGAAGAGGTGTGAAGTTGATTGGAGAGGAGTGGAGAGCAGTCAAGTTGACTGGAGTGGACAGGAGAGATGATTGGAGGGGAGTAGAGACAAGATGATTGGAGTGGAGAGAAAGCCCGAGATAACTGATACTGGGGACAATTTTACGCCTGAAGCATTGTTGAGAAAATCACTTGAACCAGGTTTCACTGATCTTATTTCTATATGACCTATCCACAATAGAATGGATCACTGCCAGAAAATCACTTCTCAGGTATGCCATATGTAAATGTCCATCAAAGAATGTTGTTTTTGTGTTTGTTATTCAACACCACAGTTATGTCATTCAACACAATATTCCAGCAATATGACAGTGGCCTGTAACTAATCTGGAATGATCCAGACAAACCAGTGATTGATATGGTGAGCACCATCTGATAATATGACTCTCAATTTAACCAAGTCATTGACCACTCAATCCACATAGGACAAGCTAAGGCTGCTAGGGACTAATTCTAATTGTTCTACATACTGACCAGTTTCACAATCTGTCCTCTCAGTGGCCGCTTGTTGTCTTCAAACACAGCACCACGGAAATACGATCCTCCTGTCAACATAGGGGCGTTGTCATTGAGGTCAATTATTATGACCTTGACATTGGCGGTGTCTGAGTTTTCGGGGAACACATTGTCCTTGACCTGTACATCGAACACAACGCTTGCCGTGACCTCTCTGTCCAGAACTGTGTTGGCTGTGATGACACCAGTATCGGGCCGGATGCTGAACAATCCTGTTCCCAAGGAAAATGAATGAATGTTGTTTCATGTCAGTGTTAAATATTACAGCTCTATCAGCCAGTATACATCAAGTCTAGGTCTGGAAATCCAGTGGTTAATAATAAAAGCAGCATGGTGTCCCCCCGCCATGATATTGCTAAAAGCGGTGTCAAAATAAACTCACTCACTCATCAGCGTGACCAGCAAATACTCTAACGTCTAGGCTACCCCACCGCCCCTATGTGGGAAAGAAGCCTAGAGGTCTAAGACATTTATACCATGATCACAGGTATAGTGCCAAGACAAGGATTATAGTCAGGATTGATCGGGAATTCAAACACCATGATCATAGGATCCTTACACAAGAAAGGGACATAACTCTGCCAGCAAACTTTGACGCCTTTGGCAACTGGGCCACGTGTGCCTTTTGCATGAGCCAAATGTCATTGTAGAATATGATAGTTAAATACATCATTCCATTCTCCTAAAATCAGACTGCTCTATCTTACCACTAGCATCATCAATGGAGTAGGTCAGTTTGTGGTTGGGGTCGGCAGGGATGTCAGGGTCAACAGCAGTCACCCTCCCCACAACAGCATCAACAGCATTGTTCTCCGGCAGATGGAACTCATACTTGGGAAGCGACATCCGGGGTGGGTGATTGATGGGGACGTTGACAGTGATGACAGTATCTGCAGACATCTGTGGAACACCGTTGTCCTGAGCTCGAATGTCCAGATGGTACACATCCAGCATTGACTCATGGTTTGGTGAGTCAGTTACAAAGATTTCTCCTGAAACGGATTTTGTAGCGAGTTATATAGGTTCAATGCCAATCTAAAGAATATGTCATTGTATCACAGAGTACTAATCAGTCAAGGACAGTGATGCCTACATGATGCATCAAAATATTTACCAGCTGGCTGAAACCCATTACCACAAATGTTTTAGGAAACCAAAACCTGCGGATCACTTGACAATGATTACAACCAAAATCATTTTTGTTCTGTTCAACAATTTTTCTGAAGACATTGTAAATACGACAAAAAGTGCATATTCAATGCAGGATGACAAACAATTACCAAAATCACTGAGCGATCACCTGAGCCATTGTCATCTCTATGACAAGCATAAGACGCCGCGTACCATGAAGATCCAGATTAGATTGGTCTTCTGCAATCCATGCTTGGTGTAAGATGCAACTAACGGTCAATTATTTACAGACTGATGCCATATAGTTGGAATACTGCTGTGAGTGGTGTTAAACAACAAACAAACAAAATCAGATGCTGAGGTCCAAACCTGAATCCCTCAGAGGTCTCGAATCATACCTGTTCTGGAGTCGACGGTAAACTTGCCGTGTCCACCTCCAGTAAGGAGGTAGGTGATTCTGTTGTTCTGGGCAGTGGCATCTGCATCCTTGGCTCGGACCACGCCCACCTTGCTGTCCCTCATGGCAGAAGGGTTCATGTTGAAGGTAGTGTTGCTGATGAAGACTGGGCGGTTGTCGTTGATATCATCCACAATGATGGAGATGTTGGAGGAGGTGCTGAATCCATGCCCTCCTTGATCTGTGGCTGTCAGCTGCAAGAGTTGTCTGGATTTGAGAACTACATGAGGGAGGGAGGGAGGGAGGGAGGGAGGGAGTCTTTCAGTCAGTCAGTCTGTCAGGTCTGGACCATCTTATCAGTTACATCACAGCATGTTTTTTTCATTCAGTAGGCGACCCGAAGTGAAAAATGACATATGTAACAATGATATTATTCTATATACAAGCTCAGAAATTTCCTTGCAATACCTTCAGATTGAATGACTTTTGTACTTCAGCATCAATCAAGGATGGGTCTCGAATCTTTATCCTGCCTGTGTCTTTCACAAACTTGAAGTTGTCGGAGCCACGCCCTGTCAGTGTAACCTTCACATTTCTGTTCTCAGTTGTGTCATCTTTGTCTTCAATCGTGATTGGTTGGCTCTGTAACATACTCCCACAATAAAAGGACAGTGAACGTAAAGAATTTAATTAAATCTGTTTTGTTTTATAGTTTGACCTGAAAACAATTTTGAACATGTCTCTACTGTTTTTAATGTCCTTCTATGTTCTTTAATGTCCTACTTCTAAATCCAGAGCTGCAGACCTGACAAAAGTAAGGACCAGCTGTGCAGAATCTTTGACTTCTCTGATTTTGTGTCTAACAACAATGTTGGTTATGAACAGGGTCATAAAGAATCACATATTTCTCATGATTACTTTAAAATTATAAAAATGAATGTATTTACAAATACTAATACTGATACAAACCAATTTAACATAAACATCCCCTCTGGAGGTCGATACAGTTTCAGACACAACACCAGAGTAGCCTCCCTTGACAGTAAACTCTGGAGCATGGTCGTTGGTGTCGTTGACAGTAATGGTGACCAGTGTGGACATGGTGTAGGCAGGGGCACCGTCATTCACCACCTGTACATTGAAGCTGACACTGTCCAGCTCCTCACGGTCAACACTCGACTTCAGTTTCAGTTCTCCACTGTACTTGTCCACCATAATAGGCACTGAAACGGTCAGGAGGACAGAATTGGCATGAGGTCATGAAGTGTTTGTGGACCTATCCTTGGAACTCTAGTTCACTTTCAGGGCTCTGTAACAGATGCTGTTACTTATGTATCATGATGTACTGCCCCACCCATCTGATGTGTTAGTGACATACTGCCCCAACCACCTTCTGTGTCATTGACATACCGCCCCTCCCACCTGATGTGTCAGTGACATACCGCCCCTCCCACATGATGTGTCAGTGACATACCACCCCAACCACCTGATGTGTCTTTGACATACCGCCTCACCCACCTGATGTGTCAGTGATGTACTGCCCCACCCACCTGATGTGTCAGTGATATTGCTGGAATATTGCTACAAAGCGGCGACTAAAACCAGTCAGTCAGTGATGTGTCAGTGATGTACTGTACCCACATGATGTATCAGTGACATACCGACTCACCCACATGATGTGTTAGTGACATACCGCCCCACCCACATGATGTGTTAGTGACCTACTGCCCCACCATCATGATGTGTTAGTGACATATTGCCCCACCCACCTGATGATAGGCACTGAAACGGTCAGGAGGACAGAATTGGCATGAGGTCATGAAGTGTTTGTGGACCTATCCTTGGAACTCTAGTGTGTCAGTGACATACCGCCTCTCCCACCTGATGTGTCAGTGACATACTGCCCCACCCACCTGATGTGTCAGTGACATACCACCCCACCCCCCTGATGTGTCAGTGACATACCGCCCCACCCACATGACGTGTCAGTGACATACCACCCCTCCCACCAGAAGTGTCTGTGACATACCGCCCCACCCACCTGATGTGTCAGGGACATACCGCCCCTTCCATCTGATGTGTCAGTGACATACCACCCCACCCACCTGATGTGTCAGTGACATACCACCCCTCCCACATGACGTGTCAGTGACATACCGCCCCTCCCACCAGATGTGTCTGTGACATACCGCCCCTCCCACATGATGGTCAGTGACATACCTCCCCTCCCACCAGATGTGTCTGTGACATACCGCCCCACCCACCTGATGTGTCAGTGACATACTGCCCCACCCCCCTGATGTGTCAGTGACATACCGCCCCTCCCACATGACGTGTCAGTGACATACCACCCCTCCCACCAGATGTGTCTCTGACATACCGCCCCACCCACCTGATGTGTCAGGGACATACCGCCTCTTCCATCTGATGTGTCAGTGACATACCACCCCACCCACCTGATGTGTCAGTGACATACCGCCCCTCCCACATGACGTGTCAGTGACATACCGCCTCCCCACCTGATGTGTCTGTGATATACCGCCCCTCCCACATGATGGTCAGTGACATACCTCCCCTCCCACCAGATGTGTCTGTGACATACCGCCCCACCCACCTGATGTGTCAGTGACATACCACCCCACACACCTGATGTGTCAGTGACATACCGCCCCTTCCATCTGATGTGTCAGTGATGTACTGCCCCACCCACCTGATGTGTCAGTGATGTGATACTCAAGAGTCTCCCCAGGAGTGCCCCCCATGTCAGGGTCCACGGCTTCAACCTTCCCCACCATGGTGCCTGCAGGGAGGTTTTCCATCATCGTCAGTGACATCACTTTATCCACAGTTGGGGCCTTATTAATGGGAACATGAATCTTGACTGTGGTGTCAGCTGACAGTCGCGGGAAGCCATTGTCTACAGCCTGAACATGCAGGTTGAAGACATCGTGGTACGGCTCTCTCTTCAGGGTGTCAGAAACATACAGTTCACCTGAAAGGAAGATCCACAAAAGAACTGAATCAACAATCCATTGTTCCTCCTTTGTACAAAATGATGGAATTATTAAAAAGTCAAATTATAAGTTGTTCACTGGCCACAAGGGGGAGATGGGTTGATGTACCCTCTATGTTTGTTTATGTTCCCTGAGGACATACATAGAGGGTACATCAACCCATGGGCAACAAGGGACCAGTGAACAACATATTTATGTTACCGAACACCTCAAAGTGAATTTTGAACTGTTTGAAGCACGGGTATTGGATCATAATAAGGAGTACCGGAGTTAGGCAACAGCCCAAACACTACTAACATGAAGTACCACAGTTCTGCATTTCCAGCAGGTAACATAGAAAATGTTACTTGCATGTAAGCGGGATCAGCCAATCAGAAAACAACATATATGTGTGAGGTAAGATAATTGTCTTTGTGTCTTATCAAATGTAATAAATTCAAAGTTTCAAAAGTATAAAATCTGGCAGGCATAATGGTCTTGGTATTTGGTAGATTAGAGGACAGTAGACAGCATGACATAATAGTGAACTGTTGGGAATGGTTCCTGGAAGGTATTCATAGTGTAGAGTTGCATCCCTTGACTAAGTCAGGATAGCCTGGTTGTGAAATAAAAGTACAAAATTTCCACGAGTTTGAATCTACTTCTGTCAGCACTTTTTGAATTTGTACATTGATTTCATCATTTTGGGACGTTCTCCACAGTGAAACAGACAACAGTAGTAGTGTTTAAATTGTTGATAGACACCATGACTCCATGAAGCTGATCTTAACATGCTTCACTGATTTAGCAGCATGGTGCTCAAATCACAAATAGAACTGGATTTGTTACGCTGATTCAATTCTTTAGAAGAAAACAATGGTGAAAATGTCCAATAAAACACATAATGTTATTTTTTTGTATTTACAGTAATTCTAATATAAATCACACTGTTTGAGGCCTAAGAACATGCCCTAAGCCTTTCCTTCCACCTATTTCGACCAATTTTTACATGTGCTTTTGAGATGAAGTAGTAATTGGTATATTGGGGTCAGCAAATGAAACTCAAACGTGAAAATTAGATATTTGATATTCATTTGAGACAGGTGTTGGCGCCATCAATTATCGACAATGGTTACACACCTGTCGTGGGATTGACGTCAAATTTGCCATGTCCCCCATCTGTGAGGAAATACGTGAGCTGGTTGTTCTTCACAGTGTCGTCCCTATCGGTGGCCTCTAACATCCCGATGTGTGCTCCCTTTGAGGCTCCTGTGTTCACTGTGAACTCATACTTATCCTCAAACTCCGGGTTATGGTCGTTCACGTCTTCAACTTTTATAGTCAAGTTTGCTGAGCTGGTGAGACCTTTACCATTTTGGTCTGTGGCATACAACTGGAAAAAAAGGAAAAATAACCTGCAGTAAACTAGTGTTATAACAACCTCAAAGGGACCACTACATTCAATCAGAATTGTTCTCGGATCCAGCTGGGTTTTATATTTTTCCATGGCTTTTGTAGATGGTTCATGCATCTTATGGATGGATCTAATTCTGTGAGGAAACATTTGGATGCACAGTTGTTAAGATCATCAATGCGTGTTCTACCCTCATGGAGAAAGAACTGTGAAATTTCCAAGAAAATTAGGACTGATGTAGCCTTCCGTTTAGGTGAGGTTGATACTAAATACATTTCTGTCAGAAACTTCTGCTGAGTGACTTTCCTGGTTTTCCAACACTTCTCGAAACAGAACTCCATAACAGCACTTGGTGCCCAAATACTGGAGAATCTGCACCAACACTAACCTAAGAAACACCTGTGAGGATACAGGTTAGAACTGGCCTTCGAACCTGGGTCTTCAGCATAGTTTTATGCTGCTTTTAGTAATATTCATAACCACTAGGCTACCCCACTACCCACTGTTGTGATTGGATGGTCAGGCTCGCTGACTTGAAGGAAGCATTCCTTTGTATTCCACTTGCGTAGATTGATGCTCATAATGTCAACCACTGGATTGTTTGGTGCAGATTTGATTAGTTACAATATTACTGCCATCACATGGCAACAATATTGTTGTGGCTTTAAACAACAAACAAACACTGTAGAAAAATCAAAAGGAAAGTGTCTGACTCCTTTCACTTATAATCAATATCTTACAATCATACTGACCATCAAGTTATACTGGCATCTGAGTTCACAGTCAATGACTCCAGGCCTGTTGACATACAAGTGACTGGTATCTGGCGTCCACCCGGAACTGATCACTGCCAACCCCTGTCAGAGTCAGCACCACCCCTCGGTTGTCCTCGGTTATGTCTTCATCGCTCACCAGTATCAGTCGATCCTGTAACCAGAATGTCTCTTTGTTTAAAACTCAGTCACTTAACACCATCATTTTTATTAAAATTTGCACATTTTCTCAAGTACGGTATAAATACAATTATACTGAACTCAAAGGGATCAACCCACGCTTGTCGTAAGAGGCGACGAACGGGATCGGGTGGTTGATCACTGGATTGTCTGGTCTAGACCGATTATTTAAAGACCGCTGCCATGTAGCTGGAACATTGCTGAGTGCGGCGTTAAACAACAAACCAACCAACCAAATCAAAGGGATCCCATTGGGATTCAAACCCAAACTCTAAGAATGAGGCACCAAATAGCCCACTCAGCCAGTCTTCCACAAAAATGGAAGTCCGAAGACTGGCAGTCTGGATCATGACCTCTGTGTAGCTCTTTAACAATATAACTGGTTCCCTATTTCCTTGTAAAGATCATTAAGTCCTGATCTTGATAAATTCCTACATCAGCAGCTAAGATATTGCTGACTGAGGTGCACAACAGAAGAACCAGAGACTTGTCATCACCAGGTCAACTTCAGTTGCATCCCGCCTCCCGTCTTGGTCCTCCACAACACGACCCACGTACTGACTTGCAGAGAACATTGGTGCATTGTCGTTGAGGTCAATGATGCCAACAACGATGTGTGTAGTTGCAGTGTACGATGGAGATCCCTCATTGACCACAATGACTGACATCTCAAAGTGGTCATTTGTCTCTCGGTCCAGCTCAGTGGCCATCCGTACAACACCGGTGTCACGCTCCACCATGAAAGGTACTGAAACAGTGTTTCAATGTTCCTATTAAGAGTTGAATCGATTCATAATGAAAGTACACTCAGAGTACATCATGAAAACACGTTCCAAACATCCTCCAAATGTCCAGGTTGGATGCCTAACTAAAAAACTTTTCAAACATTTGGTAATGTATGTTGTTCAAATTTGTGTGAAACACTTTAACGATCTAAAAATCTCCAAGAATAAGAAGGTATCTTATGGTACAAATAAAACAACAAAATAGATAAAACATTTCGCTACATTGCATTAATACTTATAATATGTTAGTCTTCAATATCATCAGAAGGTTGGGGATTACAAGGTCATGAAGTTTTTGAGGAATGAATCGTTCACAATTATCTTTTTTTATATAATTGATGTCATTGAGATCCGGAGTGATGAGGCAGCTAAGTGAGACCACTTTCCCAAGATGGCGCCTGATCAGCTACCATCTAATGATTAGATCAGTGGCTAGATTTCATAACTGGTCACAGAGTACTTCACAAGGCTTGTCATAGAGACCAGTCAACCACCCATTTGGTTCCAAACAAGATAATAGCAGGTACATCTCACCTTAATAGAACCTGTGAAAAGTCAGGTTTTCTGTCCAAACATCCCAGAGTAGCCAAATTTTCGGTACTGCTTACAATATTTGGCTAAGTAGCTTCAAATGTTGCTACAAATTCTCCCATATGTTGTAGCTCTTTTATGCCAGTTGGTTAAAATAACACGAGTCCGCAACTCTCATAAAGTTTCTACTGCAATACATATAACATGAGCAAAAACGATCAATCCTAGAGCCTTGTTCATCAAACCTATCTTAGCTGTAAGACTATCACAAGTCTTTGTGAATTTTAAGGTAATGGCAGTCACTTTGATCACTTTAGATCATTCTGTAGTTGGTCTCACAGATCCTGAAACAAATATATCCAATGCAACCTGTTATGGTTCTAATAATTCCCAAGTTTAAACTACCATAGTTTCTGGCAAAAAATGAAAAAAAGCCTCTCACTCCTTTTTAAAACATTTTTTAAGATAAAAATATAACTGTAAAACATTTTCATTTTAGAGACTAGGTATCATTGTAATCTTGCTGATGCTGGTCTCCCTACCTCCCGGTTCCCCAGTGAAGAACTGGATCTTCTCTCGATCATTGTACTCCATGTCTGGGTCGGTGACCTTGACCCTTCCCACTTCTGACCCCACGGTCTGGTTCTCCTTGACCTTGAACTGGAAGGTTGTGGGCACTACAGGTGGCTTGTTGAGGTTGACCTTGATGGTGACCACTGTCTCTGATGACAGTCTCTGGTCACCGGAATCGATGGCTTCCACAGACAGGTGGTACACGTGTCGGAATGGCTCAACTGTCAGCTTCTCAAGGGCTACAATGTCACCTGGAGAAGAAAATCACATATCCTAAGTCACATTTCACCTATACCCAAAAAATCAGGAAAAATGAGTATTTGGGGGAATATTTTTATGAAATTGAATGAACTACAAAATATACTGAACAGCAACAGAAACGCAAGTTTAAAAAAAATGAAATCTCATGAAAGTAAGCGTTCACGTTTATGGAACGTTCATGGTAAAGTGACGTAATGATCCCAGATGAGATGATGTCAGGCAATTTGACGTCCATACAAAACATTCACACAAACACATCCACAATGCAGAAAAAAAACACACATAATTTTAGCACGTGCATCAACGGTTATGGATGAAAAGCATGCATTTCACTGTGAGGTATGCTTTATAAAGGTTTGTGTCAAAACATAGTTGAGTATTGACACTAGGAGGTGTACACGCCGCACAAACGATGCCTAGACTAACGACTGAGCAGAGAGGAATGGCCATTGGAAAGTTGCATGGAGGTAGCTCTGCAACCGCTGTAGCTAGACAATTGGGCTGTCATCTTTCCACCATTACAAAACTTGCTCAACATCATCATCGTTCCGGGGTTGCTGCTGATCGTCCCCGTACCAGACGGCCACGGGTGACAACTCATGGGCAAGATCTGTTCATCCGGTCACTCATCTAAGGAACCGAACTCAAGCAGCAACAGTAACAGCAGCCTTAGTTCATGGGTCAAGAGGAGCAGTGTCCAGCGATAGGATTAGGCGCCGTCTTCGGCTGCTGGAATCCACTGCCAACGGACATATGTGCAGCCAATTTTGACAGGTCAACAACACCAGCGACGTTTACAGCCCTCATACATCAATGTTGTCAATGGTTTACCTGGCTCTGAACAACATCAATGTTCTTCCATGGCCGTCTCGTTCCCCAGATATGTCTCCCATTGAACATTCTGGGACGAAATTGGACGTAGGATTGCTGCAGGTAGACATCCACTCACACTTGACAGTTGGAACAGAGATTGGTGTTTGGGTGGAACAACTTGCCTCAGGCATTCTTTGACTCTAGTGGAGTCAATGAGGCATCGTTGCACAACCTGTGTGCAAACTCAAGGTGGCTATGTGTGCTACTAAAGAGACTGTCACTTTTTGCGTTGATGGGTATCTCCATTTGACGGACTGTCATCAATTTGAACTTATTGCAATTCAATGTCAACAGCAACTTTCAGCTGTTAAATTGATGGTGTTTTCTATAGAATAGATGATTAGACACAATTTTGGTTGCCTTCTATTTAAAAACTTGACAAAAAGCCAGACTGACGTTTCTTTTGCTGTTCAGTATAGAAATCCCAAAAGACATTTTTTATCCTTAACATTTTTGTTGTGCATATTCCAAACAACACATAATGAAATGTTCAAATTACACTTTTTTTCACAGGTATCTTACTCTATGGCTGCAAATAAAATCACTGTATACAATGCCGTATGTCTCTGATAATATGGAAGATGTACTCCTTTAGGCTCTGCACAAAACATCAGTATAACCTTTTCAAACAAGTAAACAAATTGTTCATCATCTTACATTATTTTCCTGTGTATATATCTCCAGTCTGTTAAAACAAATACCTCAGACCCTTTGATCAGTAACACCTCAGTAACATTGCACAAAATGAAGCCATCAAACTCAACTTGAGACCTCTCCATCCAAAGTACAACCAATGTTATATACCTGAATCTGGATCCAAGTCAAACTTTCCAAATGCACCACCTCTCAGAAGATACGTGACCCTGTTGTTTTTGCGATGGATGTCTCTGTCCATGGCCTTGATCGTCCCGACAACCTCCCCTACCCTGGTTCCTGCGGCTATACTCAAGTTGTACCTCCCCGGAAAAACTGGGGCATTGTCGTTGACGTCCCCAATAGTGACAGTCAAGGATGTTGTGGAGTTCTTGCCTCTCCGAGACTCATCTGACGCAGTGATCTAAATGAAATTCCACAGCATTGCAATAACGAGTTGAGACCTGAATGAAAGATACTTTGCTGTACAGACTGTACAGAGTGGCATTCTTTAGGCTTGGCAGAAACTAAGAATCATTGGTTTGAATCTCAGGTGGCTGTAATTATGAATACACAATGCCATTTAGAAAGAGGTCAAATGTAACGTGGGATTACGCTTTCAGTAAAGTACAGATTCTAGTACTTTTGGTAGGCTGAGTCCAATCCGGATTCGAACCCAAACTCTCAAAGTCAGGCACCTAATTGCCAGCACATAAAGTCAGCAATCTAACCCTTGTCAGAGGGGTACTCACAGTACATGATCTAGACTATCACAATCAGCAATCAGCTAGCATTTGGTTAGCAGGCCAGTCACCGAGCTATTTCATACATTGGACTCAACCCAACAACAGAACTGGAACCTGTACTCAACTGAGAAGGTGTAATACCAACTATAACTTATGTTATGCCTGTGATTATGTTTTTCTATCATAACCATACGCATGTTTGTGGTATTCATTAAAGTGGTAAACATTTGAGATCTGCATCACTTTGGGATGACCTACATATAGCTGAGCTGACACTAAGCACATTGACTTGACACATTAAGGTGTTGAGAAACCCAAGTTCACTCACAGTCAAATTGTAAGAACTCTGCTCCTCAGCGTCCAGCTTGCCTGGTGTCCTCAACTTGATTCGTCCGCTGTCCGTGTTCAAGATGAACTTATCACTACCCTCACCACCAAGATGCAGGGTGGTCAGTCGGTGAGCCTCTGTAGCATCGGCATCAACAACACTCACTACATCACTCTAGGGATAAAAGGTGGAGGTTATCGATATAGTGTGTTATGATTTCTATTGCCCCTGTAGGGATATCAATGTCTATATATTAATGGAGAAAACATGTGTGATGGTGTCGCAGTATCAAGGATGTCGATGCTGACATCGACAATTTTTCTTGACATTGTTTAGAATATGAACAAGACTATGGATATTCATGAGATTATCATACTTGTGTGAGTTGTGGAATGGTAAATATCATGTATTAGGAATCAACACCATGTACATACCCTGCCTAGTACTGAGATAATAAACACTACATACTTATTAGCTCACTAATGCTGACTGATGTAAAGTGTATACCAAATATGGGTAATTACCATCCCCAAACACACCCTAAAATACCTTATATGTTATGCAGCTTTATCTATTCTGTAATGCAGTCACACCACAACACATACAACAAACACTACATCACACACAACAAAACTGACACCATAGCACAGCTCACAACATGCACAACTCACACACAATTAACACAACACAATGCACACAGCTCACACAGCACAGCACGACACACACAGCTCACACAACACACACAAAATACAAAACTCACCATCTCCAGGAACTCTGTGACTGCATTTTCCATCATGGAGGCCACATAGCCTGATGGAGAGCTGAACACCGGGATGTTGTCATTAACGTCGGTCACGGTAACAGTCACTGTAGTGGTCACTGTGAAGGCAGGTGCCCCTGGGTTGACCACTCGGACAGGTACAGTGAAGTACTCCTCCTTCTCCCTGTCCAAACCCCTCTTGGTTGTCAGGACACCGGTCTTCCCTCGGAATTCAAATGGTGCTGAAAACAACACTAGAATTTACTGATATAGCTAACACCAAAGGGTATAGTTTGCACTTACACCAGTTTTTAACTTCATTTTTAACTAAAACCATTTTATCAATTTTCCCCTGCAGCCATTTTCTTCCTTTTCCCCAGCAGCCATTTTCTTCATTTTCAGGATATGAAACTCCCAAAAATTACAGCCAGACCACATTGCTGGTTCGATGTAAAACTTGCTAGCCCTGACCAAAACTTACCTGCCCACAATAAATCTTCATATACAATTTTTAACCAAACCGTGAATATGAGAATCTAGCAGTCTGTGTTGAAAATAACCTGTGGTCGGGCTGGCAGGTATTTGGAACACTGTCATTTTCCCCCTAAACTTTGTAGTACATTGTGAATATTTACGCTTATAAAGATTTATATTGTTTCTAAATGAAGGGAGCAGAGAATTCTTAAAATACCCTGAGGACATCAATAGTTGTTTTGATATTGATGTACCATGCTTCAGTTGAAAAATGAACATTATTTTGCTTTTAGCATTTCTAAAAAGCAACTTCCCCGAAAACATATAATCACAATCCTAATGGAATTAAATACCACAACACATTAGGAAACAGCAAAATAGGTTTGTATATTTCAGTACCACAGTTTAATAACTAGGTCTGATATATGCGCAAAACATTGAACAATATGAATAGAGTAAATTCAACCTTGGATAGAGGATCTCACCTTGTTTATCTGTGACAGCAAATTCAAACGTCTCATACTGGTTTGACGCTGTGTCTGGGTCCTCCAGAGTTACCTCCCCTACAACACTGCCAACAGGCTTGTTTTCCTCTACAGCGAATGTGAAGCTGTCGTCGATGGTGGGAGGGGAGTTGACTGGCACCCTGATGGTGACGCTGGTGTCCCCGGTGAGACGCACCTCCCCACTGTCCAGGGCTTCGATGTGCAGGATGTAAGTCCCTAACACAGGTTCTCGCAGGATGTTCTCTGACAGACGCAGCACTCCTGAATCCACAACACTTACACTTAGAAATTCATTTGGCCAAATACATGTATATATATGTATTTTTTATAGATACTCTGTCCTGCCAAGGCACATCAAATAAAGAACCCTTGAAGGTCCGGGTTAGAATATTGATCTTCAGTAACCCATGCTTGTCGTATGAGGCGACTAACGGGATCAGGTGGTCAGGCTCGCTGACTTAGTTGACACATGTCATCGGTTCCCAATTGTGCAGATTGATGCTCATGCTGTTAATCACTGGATTGTCTGGTCCAGACTCAATTACTTACAGACTGCCACCATATAGCTGGAATATTGCTGAGTGTGGCGTAAAACTAAACTCACTCACACACTCACATCAAATATAGCAGCATGAAAAACTTCTGGTAGTACTGCACTTTCCTTGAGCAGTATACCTTCATAAAATCAAAATACATTCTCTTCCTACATTAACAAGTTATTGTTTGCTGGCATATTCAACATTATTTGAAACAGAGTAATAAATATGAACAACATTAAAAACTTCTAAGAGAAATATGTAAAATAAATTGTCAAACACTGCAATTCTCAGTTGTATGTTGTCAGCATTTAATTCATCTTGGCCGCCATATTGCTGGAATATTGCTCAGTGCGGCGTAAAACTCAACTCACTCACTCACTTAAATCATCATGACCAGACAAACCAGTGATGGATAGTATGAGCAACAAACAATGCTGTCACATTATGATCACACACAATGAGTTTCAACATCAGGGCCCCGTTTCACAAAGCTCTCGTAAGCCTAAGAACTCGTAACTTTTCTCATAGCAATCGCACTCCCTATGTTACAGTATAGAAGGTACAAATGCTACGAGAAAAGTTATGAGATCTTAAGGTTACGAGAGCTTTGTGAAACAGAGTCCAGATCCAGTGCTGATGACAGCCATATTGCTTGAATATTGCCGAGTGTGGCATTAAACAACAAACAAACAAACAAACAGTTGCTGATGACACATTCTAACTCAGGCCAGCCTACATGTCTTTATATATAACAAGAACACAACAGTTAATCTCAAACTTTAAACCTATATGACTACAAACAAGTCTTTCTCCCAAGAGTTAATTATTGTTACTTTCCAATTTCAATGAAAGACTAAAATTTCTAACCTGTATCACTATCCAGTTCAAACTTTCCATATCCCCAGATTTCAGGATGTATGTGAGCTTGTTATTCCTCTCAGAGATGTCTCTGTCCGAAGCAACAACTGTTCCAATCTCTGCACCAACTGGTGTGTTTGTGGCAACTTCAAAATCAAAGTCATCCTTAAATTCTGGCGGGTTGTCGTTAAAATCGTCTACATCAATAAACACAGGCACCGACGACTGCTGTGTCTTTCCGTTGGAGTCGTCTACTGCTGTCAGCTGAAACAGAAACAGCAAGCAATATGATGGCAGGAGAATACTGGAATCTGGATGGCAATAAACGACAAGTAGTTACAACATATGTAATATTTGGGATTACACTTTCTCAGTAGAGTTACAGATTCTAGTACTTTTTTTTAGGTTGAGTTCCATCCATTTCAAACGCACTCTCTCAGAGTCAGCCACCTAATCCCAGCACACAAAGACAGTGATCTGACGCACTCAGCAATTGTGGCTTCACACAAAAATGGAAGTCGGACAACAGGTAGCCTAGATCATGTACTTTTCGTACTCTCCTCCTTATATACCCTATGTTGTAGAGGTGTGACGATTCATCGATACGCATCGATACATGGGCCACCGATACAGTGAATCGATACAAAGTTTTACATTGTCATATATCCCGATAGGATACTTCAAATGGGCAATGATACATCGATGTTTCACTTTGAATATTGCCGAATCGCGATATCTGTCAAGAAAAAAGACTCACTTTTGTTTGATGATTAAAATATTTGCTTACTTATTTTACCTTCATAAGTAAACGTTTTCTTGGCAATTCTTGCGTCAAGACTTGTGTCAGACAGCGCTCACATGTTATTATCATTCATTCAGTCCGTGTATAAACTTAATTATCTCGTTTCCAAATGAACATTGAAAAACGCTGGCGGAATTTGACGAAATACTTTAAAATGGTTTTGTTTTGATATTCAGGTGTTTTATAGTTGGTGCTAGAATTAAATATTTTAGTATCGTGATGCGTATCGTATCGTCACCCTTATATCGGGATTCGTATCGTATCGCAGCTTCAGTGCACAATACTTTGGCAATATATAGTCGTGACTAAAATTTTAGCATCGTGATGTATCGTATCGCAGGTTGTATGCCAATACCAGCTCTACTATGTTGTGAGGGTCTGCAATGATATATCGTTGGTATTTACTGGTGGGAGGATGGTCTAATGTACTGGTGAGTTGGTGGAAAGTGTTAAAATTGTTTTTGAAATATTTAGCAATGGTAATGGTTGCAATACATGTTGCACATCTGTGATAAAATATTGTCCCAAGGCTTTCAAAACAATGCAGTGTTTTTTAAAGTATGACACACATTTCAACTACATGACAGTGTAATGAATGTAGAGAAGTCTTACAGTCAGGTTGAAGGTGGCCTGGGTCTCACTGTCAACTTTCTGGGGAGCAGTAAGGACAAGATGCCCTGAAGCCTGGTCAATCTGGAACAGGTCACTGCCAGGTCCTGTCAGGCTGAGCTGAATGTTGTCCAGGTCCACATCAGGGTCGGCGTCAGCAACAACTATTGGTTGATTCTGCAGAAGACATGGACAACACTTACTTTCAGTGTAAGACACCAGCTTCTTACATTGATGATACTGACATTCTTCATTGTGAATGGTGTCCCACAGTGTTTGTAATTTAGTTTACACTGACAGGCTTTAATACGCTTTGTTCTCTGTTTCCTTTGTTGTCCATTTTGCTACTAACTTGTTTCTTTGCTATTTCTATGACATGTCAGTGTTGTGATTCATTACTCATCCATACATAAGGTCCTTTCTTAAATAACATGTACTGGTGCTCTTCATTTGAATTGATAAATAGAGATTATTAACCTAGTGTGTTTCCCTATCATTAATATCATATATTAGGAATAAAAATTGTATTATGCGGCATAATACCGGTACATAATTTTAATTCCTAATATATGATATTAATGATACAGGAAACACACGAGGTTAATAATCTCTCTATCATATAATGTCATTCTTAAAATTGTTCTAAAAAAGAAGCATATCGTATGTGAATTTATATGAAGAGAGTCGAGCATTCGCATTAGAACACTTTGCAGTAAACCACCAAGGTGAAGGTCGTTGATGATGGCAGCATATGGTTGTGACTAGTCGCTAATACAGTGCAAATATAACTCATGCTTAAAATAAGATCTTTCTGTCTAAAAAGAACAACAAAATCAGGCAGGGTTTTCCTGACAATGTTTCTATTTTAATTGCGGAAATCACCTCATCAATATCAGTTTCTGATACCTGACGGAATCGATTTGTCGTCTGTATATTGTGATCGATAGATCGAAATCCTTGGTTGGTACCTTTCTTAGACGATTGCCTTTCAGTCGTGCCTCATAATCCGTACCTTCAATTTGAACGAAGTACTCCGTTTCATGTTTTCCAAAGTCATTTACTGCAGTAACGACTCCTTTGTCAGAACCTTTGTCATCAATTCTTACAGAATCACCAATTTTGAGAATGGGGGCAGCCATGTTTGTTTACAAACAATGTAAGCTCGCAACGACGTCATCAATGAAATGTTGAAACGTTTTAGGATTCGCATGGTGTGTATGGAGTTTTGTGAAAGTAGTTCATGGATTGACGTAATTTGCATAGTTATCAGATTTGGATACCAAGTTTATCAGATTGCTTTATTGCACCGATAACACCCTCCGTTAGATGATAATGTGTTCTAACTGGACAGCTGCCTGTAGGCAAGGACAGAAATGTGGCATTAGTCTAATGCATCTGTGTTGTGCTTCTTTAGATTTGTGTGAACACAAGGATAATATTTATAAATATTTATAACACTGAAATATCTCATCTGAAATCATGTTCATTACTTCTTTACATGTCCTTGTATTGTGTATAGAAATGCATGAATAACTTTACATTATAAACATCTTCCAAAGGCAAAAGTGTTATCTCTTAACACACAGATATACAGATCCTACACCTGATTGATATTGGCATCTCCAATACAAGTAATTTTAAACACTATACAAAGAACATATAAATGACTTCATTCTTTTTCATCTGACATTGCTATATCAGTCTCCCTGGTCACGTACCAGGTACACGGTGTATGGGTCGTTGGAGTCAAAGGTCTCGGGGACAACTCCATGATATCCATCACCAACATTGAAGGTGGGACTGTTGTCGTTGATGTCCAGGATGTGGATGGTGGCGACGATGGTGCCGGTGAAGGAGGGTGCTCCTTGATCCACTACCTGTACAGGGAGACTGATAGATGATGACTTCTCCCGGTCCAGAGAGCCTGTGGTCTGGATCATCCCTGTTGTATGGTCCACAGACAGGGGCACTGCACAATAACCAGAATGAGTGAGTGAATTTGGAGGAGAAACACGAAGAGGAGGAACAGGATGAAGAGAAGGAGGAGGAGGAACCAGGAGACAGTAGGAGGAACAGGATGAAGTCCTGGACAGGAGGAGGACCAGGAGGAAGAGGAGGAGGAACTGAGGAGGACCAGGAGGAACTGAAGGAGGACCAGGAAGGGACCAGGAGGAAGAGAGGAGGAACAGAATGAGGACCAGGAGACAGTAGGAGGAACAGGATGAAGTCCAGGAGAAGGAACAGAAGGAGGACCAGGAGGAAGAGGAGGAGGACCAGGAGGAGGAGGAACTGAAGGAGGAGGAAGAGGAGGACCAGGAGGAAGAGGAGGAGGAACTGAAGGAGGACCAGGAGGAGGAGGAGGAGGAACAGGAGGAGGAGGAGGAAGTACTAGTATATGCAGATGATACTTCTGGTGGATCTGTCTTAGCACTTAGTTGAAAGAGAAGACATTCAATGTTTATATGTGTTACTGAGTACTTGATACCATGAAATGGTAGAAGACAAAGGTTTAAATCAATAACAGTAACACGTTGTTTATGGACAATAGAAATACAAAAGATTATTGGAGACTCTCTTTCTTTGAAAACAGACATATATCACATCACTCTAGAAAGCAATGACGACCTAATACAATGGGTAGATATGATCATGGACCCACTTGGTCTGCAAGATGATGCCAGCATTCTCTGCATGAGTTTCAGATAAAATATCAAACACTCATTGATGAAATATTTAAGTTGCCAGACTGACCACAAGATCCATTACGTTGTCTTCTATGACTAGCATAGTTTGCAGTGAACCATTTCCAATTTAGGACACCTGAATAATCCAGCATATATCTGATCCAGAGAGTAAGGGTCAGCAACATACAGGGGAGTACTCCAGCAATCCAGTTTATGTGTTTTTAAAGGATCTGATCCATCAAGTACCTGAGTGATCCAGCGAGGTAAACTCCAGGGCCTTGCCATCAGGGTCGGCGAAGTCCAGGATGCCCACCATGGTGCCAGTAGGACGGTTCTCCGTCACATGGAAGTCCTGAGTCAGCTCGTACACGGCAGGTTGGTTCAACTCCACCAGCACCTTCACCGTGGTTTCGGCAGTCTGCGGAGGGAAGCCAGAGTCCACCACCCTCACCCCTAGGCTGTACTCCGAGCTCAGCGGCTCCTCCGTTAGTCGAGACGACAACAAGATTGTACCTGGAACCATGTTTATTGTTGAACACTGCAGTCAGGAAGATTTCATGTCAAGATAGCCTGGTAAAGAGAGTCTCAACCAGACAAAAGTATATATTTCTCGATAATGATATAGCTAAATATTGATTACCTAGCTATAGATGTTGGAGAATACATCTCAGCAAAAATGCATAACAGGTCCAAAAGAAAACAAGATATTTCACATTACAGGTGAGTGGTGATACATTTGTTCATTGACTACCAGCAAGATCATGAAACAGATTTAACAAGTGTATGGAAACTGTTACATATTAATCACCAATATTCTGACTATATCTCAGCAAACCAGTGACCAACAGCATGAGCAACATAAATGAGATACAATGGAAGACACACTGAAAATGCTTATTCCTCATATTAGATTAGCCTTTATGATGTGACCATTCCAACCTGATTCCCCAGTGATGCCTCTCACCTGTCAAGGGGTTGATTCTGAATTTGCCGACACCATCTTTGAGGAAGTACATGAGTCTGCTATTCTCCGGAGAGCCATCGTCATCAACAGCCTTCACAGTAGCAACCTCGTAACCTACCGGGCTTCTGGGGTCAACCTTCACTACATGGTGGAAGTCAAACCGAGGCGAGTTGTCGTTAATGTCCTTGACCTTCACTTTCAAGTCAGCATGAGTCTTCAGACCTTTACCATTCTCATCTGTGGCAGTGATCTGAAACAGTCCAAGTTAAATTGGCAATATAAACATAAGGTAAGAAAATGACTGGTATCATTATGTTTTAACTAAGTCTCTGATAATGTAATTTTCTGAGTAAAATTGATATTTTATACTTATCCTGACTCATGCTATTTTGCTTGTCTTCTTCTCCTTGCGAACGTTAGTGGAACACTTGAATCCCCTTTTTGAAGCTCCCTTCAAAAAAGCAGACGACAATCAATCACTCACTACTCATCAAGAGTTATGTCCCTTCCCAGTTTTGGCGGGAAACGGCGCCACCCGTCTCCCAGCTCCTCACTCTCTCGGTATATCAAGCCCGACACTTAGATTTGCTGGGAAATCCAAAAGTGCCTTGAGGGGAGGTTGGGAGGGCTGACCTCATGAGTCAGGATAAGTATAAAATATCAATTTTACTCAGAAAATTACATATTTTTCCTTGTCCTGACTCATGCTATTTTGCTTGTAGAATCCAACGGATTTGGTGGTGGGTCATGCCACTTCTGGATTCCAAGCTTGGTGATTTACGTCCTGCATATCCCCCTATGGGAACTTCATGGTAGCACTGTTAATTTTCTGCTAGGTTCTGCTGCTGCTGACCTTATCTTCCAGCTTTCTCTGATGGGGGGACCACAACTTGTCAGCTTTTGCTCCTTTCTTCTGCTAACATTATGTGTGGATTTGTGCAACTCCATCTCTTGATGCTTGCATCAAGTGGAGAAGCGACCCTTCTTATGTATGAGTATGTCCTTACAAGTACAGGGTCTATCACTCATGCTGGTCTGTCTTAGACGTGCACATGGACTCTAAAGCTCTAACTCCTCAGAGCGTTGGCTTTTGCAAGTCACGTGATAAAAGGGCGAGTCTCAGCGCCTTTGTGGAACCGTCAGTTGTTGTGCTACAACAAGAGGCCCAAACTGGTGAATGCCGGAGACGTCCTCGGTGGCGATGTCTCTCAGGTAGTGGTTGGCAAACACCATGTCTGATTTCCAGAAGCAGCCCTCCATTATCGTGGTGATGGAGCAGTTTCCATGTAGAGCGAGTGTTGATGCCAGAGCTCTAACTTCATGTGGATTGGAGGCTCGTGGAGGATCAAGTCCTGCTGCTTTATAGGCCCTTAGGATGACAGCTCTCATCCATATTGATATCGTTGTGCGAGAGATCTCCGTAGGTGTCTCTGCCGATATAGGGATGAAAAGGCTCTTGAATTTTCGTCTCCTGGTCCTAGACCTTTGTAGGTAGACTTTTAATGCTCTTACTGGGCACAAGGATAGGTCCTGTGTATCCTGAGGCCCAAGGATGCTGGGATGTGGAACTGTCTGTCGGGTTGACCTGGCAGTTGATTCTTTGCTATAAAGTCCCATCTTAGTCCCATATGTACGATGTTGCGGTGCGCATCAAATCGTGTCCGTTCAAAGTCCAGAGCATGTATTTCCGACATCCCTGCTGCTGTTGCCCAGGCAATCAGAAATAGAGTTTTCTGTGTCAAGAACTCATAAGATGTCCCATCTAATGGTTCATAAGCGTCACTGGTGAGATGCTGTAGAACTATGTTGAGGTCCCAAGCCGGAGATTTAAATCTCTGTTGTTGGTCTTCCAACTTGAAGGACCGTAGTAAGGCCAGTATCTCTGGTACCTTAGTCAGTTTTACACTCGTCCTCATGGTGATAACTGAGCTCAATGCCGCTAGGTATGTTGAGAGTGTTGAACCATTTAACCGCTTTGTTTGTCTTAGATGACAAAGATAGTCCGCCACATGAGGGTGTGTCGCTTTCATGGCTGTGAAGCCCTTCCTCAAAGCATAGGTCTCAAAACTTTGCCACTTGTCGTCATACAAGTTGCGGGTTGATTTGCGTAAAGCTAGCGTGACCGCTTTCGCTGCCCTGGCGGAGTATCCTCTCTTATTCAAGCAAGCCTTGATACGGTCCATGCGTGTAGGTGGAACACTGTGGGGTTCCTGTGTGCTTGTTTGGTGTGCGGATGTACTAGCAAGTTCATCCACTCTGGTAGTTGCAGTTGAGGAGGTCCTAGTTCTTGTATGAGAATGGGAAACCACATTCTCGCTGGCCAATAAGGCGCGACCAAAATCAGTTGCAGGTTCCTCGTCTGCATGATTTTCTGCAACACTTGCGGTATTAGAGCTGGAGGCGGAACGCGTAAGCGTTTAGTCCTTCCAAGGGGATGCTTAGAGCATCTGTTGCCCATGCTCGTGGATCTGGTATTGGAGAGACGAATGTTGCCAGTTGATTGTTGAATCTTGTGGCAAACAAGTCTATGAGCGAGCTTCTATCTCTTGTATGATCTGTTTGAAGATCTCTGGATGTAGCATCCATTCTGTTGGGGATGGTTGTGTTGGACGAGATAGTGCGTCTGCTATCACATTCTTGGCTCCTGGAATGTGGCATGCTTTTATGTGGATGTTCAGATCGTCCGTTATGCTGAACAGATGAAAGCAAAGGTCCAGAAGGTTCACCAACATTGTCGATCCTTGTTTGTTTGTGTAGAACGCCACTGTGGAGTTGTCCGTATGTATCATCAGATGAGCATTTTTTAGAATGCTGGTCCAGTGGAGTATGGCGTTTATGACTGCTTTCATCTCTAGCATGTTGATATGCAGACTTTTCTCCTGTAACGTCCATTTCCCAGCTGACACTTCGTTGTCGAGGTGCGCTCCCCATCCCTGAAGAGATGCGCCCACGTAGAGATGAGTATTGCACTCCGGCTCTGCTAAGTAGGTCCCTCCGCAAACATTTGATCTCAGAGTCCACCATAGTAGATATGGTTTTAGTCTGTCCGGAAGTCCGAAGGGGTCCGGATCGTCCAGATGGGCATTCACGAAGACCTGGAGTGGGCGTAGGTGTAGTCTCCCTCTGCGGGTCATGTCCTGCGCTGACGTGAGGAGACCCAAAAGGCTTTGCCAATCTCGTAGTGGCCAGGGAGAGAGTAGAGCTTGAGATACCATGTGTTGTATCTTCAGCCAACGGTCCTCTGGAACAGCTATGAGGTTTTCTGTTGTGATGAGCCGAATTCCTAGGAACTGCAGGTCCTGTGTAGGCTCTAGTTCCGACTTGAGGAGATTCACTAGCCACCCTAGTTGAGTGAGAAGCCTGATGGTGAAGTCTAGTTGCAGTCTGAGATGACTGGGATCTTGATGAGCTTGAAGCCCATCGTCCAGGTAGAACGCACTACGTAGACCTCAATGATGTAGATAATGTGATGATGGGCTTTGTCACTCGTGTAAACAACCAGGGGGCCGATGATATTCCAAATGGAAGGACTTTCCATTGGTAGTGTCGTCCGTCTAGGAGGAATCTTAGGTACTTCCTTGATTCCAGATGTATAGGGATGTGCAGGTATGCGTCCTGTAGATCTATGCTGGCCATATGGTCCGACGGACGAACAAATGTAGTAGTTGAGGCAGATGAATCATTCTGAATTTTGCTGGTCTGCGTAGATAATCTCTGTTGATTTTCCTCATGTTGTATATTAGTCGGAACTTTTCTTTGGAGTTTTTCTTTGGTACAAGGAAAACTGGGGAGTAGAACCCTTGTGAGATCTGGTCCTGATCTATCACTTCTATAGCGTCCTTCTCTAGTAGAGATGTGACAGCTTTGCGCAGCCTCTCTATCCGATGGGCCGCGATGTTGAAGCCCTGAGGTCTGTCCGTCAATGGAGGGGCTGCTTGTAGTTGTATTTGATATCCTGCACGCAGGATGTTGGATACAAATTGGTCCTGAAGAATTCCCCAATTCTCCCAGTAGCGTTGTAGACGCCCACCCCACTTCGAACGCTGTACAGGAACGGCTGGGGTGGAAGACTCCAGTCGTTCCGAACCCGTCCTTCATCGTCTAGAGCCTTTGGCACCTCTGGGTGCCCTGCCTCGTCCGGATCATCCTCTATAGGTCCGGGATGAGCGACGAAAAGAGTCCTTTCCTCCTCTGGAGGTCCCATTTTTCTTTTCTCTTGCTCTTTGGATGCCTGCAAATTTAGATTTGCCGGAGTAGCGTTGGGACGTCTGCCTGATGACACTGGCTAGTGTATCAATAGACTTTATCATCATCACCTCCCTGGATTCCTTCGTGACTTCCTTGGCAACCTCCTCAATCTCTCCCGCGAAGACCGATGTTGTAGATCACGGCACTCTATAGAGAGTCTTAGTAAAGCGTTCGCTGCAGTTGTATGAAGACAAAAGTCCCTGTCTTCTGGCAAGCGTCAATGCTGCTGATATGGATGCCAAATGCTCTGACATAAACTGGTGGTCCTTTTTCTGCGTTAGTAAGGCAGAATAAATCATCCGGTCCTCCTCCGAAGTTGAGTTCCTGAACTTGGAGATGAGCGTCTCATTAATTGCCCTCAATCTGGTAAGTCCGAAGAAGGTCCGCCTGGTCATAGTGTCTATCTGTGCCAGCTTTTTGTCATCAATCTTATAGATTTGGTCCGGGAGTCGTTGATGATTTTATAGTGCATGGAGATCTGCGTGGACACCTGCGTGGAGATGTGTATGTAGAACTATGAGAAGTTCTATAAGGAGATCTGCATGGAGACCTGCCTGGAGGTGTGCACCTTCGTTTCTGTGATTGCCTTCCTGAAGGCAATATGGTCCTCTGTGGTGACCTTCGTGGAGGCCTGCGTGGAGATGTTGATGTTCTAGACGACCTTCCCGAAGACTTGCGCGCAGGTGAGTGATTCTGATGAGGGTCAGAGTCCTGAGACGCCTCTCTGCACCTTCTCGGAGGTGTAAGTTTCCTTCTCTGCGTTGTAGATTCCCTGCGTGAAGGTCCTTCATAATTCTCATCCTCAGATGACGATCTATTTAGGTCCGGTGAACATTCATTCCTCCTTCGTGCAGGTTCGTTCGAGTCGTGCAGTGCAGGTCTATCCTTAGTCCGAGTGCTAGTTCCTCTAGCAGACATCGCAGGCGCACAACCAGTGCGGGGTCCTTCATGCAGCAATAGTCCCTCGCGCAGGTTGATGACTTGAGCATGAGAGCTACCCGGCTGTCCATCATGCAAGGTCCTTTCCTGCGCGACCCGTTTCTCCATCAGGTCCATCATCTGTTGGGAGAATTGCTGCATAAAGGTCCCAGGGTTGAACGACTGTGACGACTGTTGAAGTGACGATGCATCTGAGAGGGTAGCGATATGGTCCAAGGATCGCTGTACCTCATGGGTCCGTGATGTCTGCGCTACTCGGACTGCGAGATAAGGTTGCTGACGCTACCGTAGCTGAGGCTTTCGACTTCTTTTTAGTCAATACTTCTGGGATGAGGATAGGAGGTTCGTCGTATATGCCTATTTCATCAATCGTGACGATCTCAGTAGAAAAGGTCCTCGTATTTTGTGATGAACCCCCAGAAGACTTCAATGAAGGCTTAACTGCAGAGGGCTTCTTCTGAGATGAAGATGGCCTCTTCTTCTTAGTATGGGCTGAGGAGTTGTCCGAAGTAGACGACCTCTTCCTCAATGTAATGGAGGTCTCTATCCCATGACCATCTTCCGAAGACTCCTCCAGAAGATCACTGGAAGGAAGCATCTCGTCTGACAGCAACAACTGGTTCCTTATAGAATCAGCCGGTTTAGCCATGACAGCCGTCTGGATCTATCCTTAGCACGTCTAAGCAGAGAAAATTGATAGTTATTAAATTCAATTTCAGATAAATGCTGACAAATATTACAGCGAGAGCTGGAAGTACATGTTGTTGTGCAACTTAGGCACAATAAGTGCTGGTCTGCAGCAGAGAACCTAAACCTGCAACGAAAACAGGTTTTCATGAAATGTAAACAAACTGAACAATCACGTAAAAACGTGAATAAACAGTCAAATTTGATAATAAATTCCAAAGCATATTGTAGAAGGATACTTCCTGAAACCTTATACAGCTAATTTAGAGGGTAATATCTAAGTTAGAAAAGGATATAGTGCCGTATAGGGGACCCAGGCGCTCTCCCAACCGTCCACTAGGGCGAAGAATGAGAGAGTGAGGAGCTGGGAGACGGGTGGCGCCGTTTCCAGCCAAAACTGGGAAGGGACATAACTCTTGGTGAGTAGTGATTTTACGTCTGCTTTTTTGAAGGGAGCTTCAAAAAGGGGATTCAAGTGTTCCACTAACGTTCGCAAGGAGAAGAAGACAAGCAAAATAGCATGAGTCAGGATAAGGAAAAATAATGTAAATCATTTTCCTGACCTTTTAACCAACTTCTAAAACTCTAAATGCCTCTACAGAACTGTCATCCATCATCAACAAGGAGTTGAAGAACAAACTCTCAATGCATATGCATCATACAAAAGTTGTAAACTAAATCCTGTGGTACTTCTCTAGTATTTGTTATGCAGTAACCCAAAAATCTTTGGTCACTGATAGCCCTAAATTGGGTAAAATACTGTCAGAATACATGCAACTATCATGGGGGATGTCACAGTGTTTCTATCATACACAAGAGCATTCTCTGTCTCGATGGACTTACAGTGAGACTATGCATAAGAGCATGCTTTACATCCGTTGACGTACCATGACATTGTACACAAGAGCATGCTCTGCATTGGTGGGTTTACCATGAAATAATGCATCCGTGCATGCTCTGCATCCATGGACATACCGTGAGATTATACACAAGAGCATGCTCTGCATCCAGCCCCTGTGGGTCCTTGATGCGGACAGCTGCAGACACCGGGTTGATGGTGAACAGGTCAGAGTTGTTTCCTCCCAGTGAATATTCCACATCCATGACTGTGTCCCCACTGTCCAGGTCTATGACTGACACAGTTGGTATCTGAAAAATATTTTGATATGGACTTGAATTTCTCTGCAGGTTTCACACCTTAGCATGATGAAACAGATGGTGGGTGACATTGATGTGACTTCAGCTCCCTGGCAATCTGAAGCCTTCAATTAGAATGTTATGGGTCTTTTGCAGTTGTTTAATGCCACACTCAACAACATTCTCTCTACATGATAGTGGCATGTATAAAATCAAATCTGGAAGGGACAATCAAGTCACTGGTGTGGTATTAGGATCACCAATCCAAGCCATTAGGGAGTCACAGAGGCCTATGCATCTGGGGACCTGTTAAAACCGTGAATCTACACATGGGTGAGTTAGAATACTAACCACGTCCAAGAGCGTGATGTGATAGTTCTCCACCACCGTTGCTGCGTAACCTCGGTCTGATGTGAACTGCGGTGGGTTGTCGTTGATGTTGCCGACAGTGACCGTCACTGATATTGTGGAGGTGTAGGTGGGTACACCAAGGTTGGCCACGCCCACCTCAAGAACATACTCCGCCTCCGTATCAGCATCCAAGGATGAAGAGGTTCGGATTATCCCCTCACTGGTGTCAATAGTGAATGGAACTGAAAAAGGTTGAAATGTTTCACAATTACAGCAAGAGGCAATTCAAGTATCACTTTAGTAAATCACAGGCAGTATGACAGTATGAGCACCAATTCACAGTGTCACACATTTATCCATTTCAGACATCGTGGTGACCCAATTCCCATTTGAGCATAGTTTACTGGAGACTCAATCCAGAAAACGATTTTCCTTTTTTACCTTTTTTTTTTACCTTTTTGAAAATTAATGATTATAAGTAATAATAGTTCTTCTTTGCATTACAAGACATCACAGTGTATTCATGGTAACATTGCACATGTCACGATACATTTACATTAAGTTCTCAGCTCCCTTGGGAGAGTACAAAGAAGACCTATGAACTGACCATCAGTATTGAGCAGCCTGTATTCCACAGTCCCAGTGCCTCCATTTGGTTGTGTGATGTTGATCCTGCCCACTTCTTTACCAATGTCCACATCCTCATCAACACTGAATGTTAATGACTTCGGCACAGTGATCGGCTTGTTGATCGGCACATTGACCCTGACCATTGTAGAGCCTGTCAACGCTGGGTAGCCTTTGTCAATGGCCGCAACTTGGAGTTCATAGAGGTCAAGGGTTGGTTCCAGAGTGAGGCTATTCTTCACAAATATGTTTCCTTCAATGGGCAATGACAATAATGCTAGTGGGAATTCCTAATTTGGTAACTTGGGAGGGCGTCAAGACAAGAACTATTTTGGTCTGATGGGATCAGAGATGAGCAAAAGTTGCAGAAAGAAAAGAAAGTTATCATATGTGTCCATATGAATACGAATTTGATCTTTCCCACTTCAACACAAACATGCTTAGGACCTTATAAAAATACCTCAGAATAGAACAACGAGGAGAGTTCTATGGATATACAACTTCTTTAATATAATATGAGCGACGTTTCGGTGTAGCCACTAACACCATTATCAAGCAAAATGATACAGTCGAGCACCGTTGTGTCGAACTCTGGTAACTCAATATCTCGGTTGTCTCGATATAACATCTCGGTCCCAGCAAAATCCTTCATAATTTATCATTATTCAAGCTCTCTTTACTCGATACGGTTGTCTCAATATTTTGGATACCTCGATATAATTTCATGGTCCCAACAAGCAAAATTACCCTTTTAACTCGATATTTGCAAAGAAACTCGATCTTCACCTACCTTTCATGAACTGAGGTTGTTAACGCACATTTACACACGGGGTGCGGCATGAATCAAAGGGATGCGGTAATGTAAACTAAATAGGGCTAATTGAGTTGAAGGTGTAACTTGTTTGTTATGTAATTAGGATTAATTAAGAAAGAAATAATTAGGAAGTACTCACTGTTACGACTAAACACGACTGATAACGGATTATAGTTTCGAATCAAAACATACTGCTAAGCGTTTTGTTTTCTTTCATAGTGATATGTGACGATATGCCCTGGTCGGATGTCTCGAATTTCAGATAACTCGATAGTTTTTCTTAGTCCCATGAATATCGAGACAACGGTGCTCGACTGTATATCCATAGAACTCTCCTCGTTGTTCATCACACCAACTTCTAAATGCCACTCAAACAAGTTACCTCAGAATAGGAAAGGATATATGAGTCAAAAGACTTATTGCTTTTAAGGACATACTTTAATAACATTTGATCAGTCTAAAACAAGAACCTAAAATGTCTTTCCACTTTCGCACGAGTTTCATATCCTGTTTCATCCTTTTAATGATTTTAACTCTTTTTAATTTTCAAGATTTGGTCAATTTATTTTCTCAGTGATTTCTAAAAGCTATTCCATTTATTTGAAATACATTGTGTCTTTATAGCATTGTATGAGTGAATGACATATTTTCCTTGAAAGCTTGATGGTTACACTTATAGCACATTCCCATTGTCTCAGCTTTGGAGATTCATCCAAGAGTAGACTCTGGTGTTACATATGGAACACTGATTCAATTAACATATAACAGAAATGAAATATGTCCAAAAGAATGGCCAAATTATGAGCTCAAACAGAAATGTGTAACCAAAGAGAGATACTCTGAAAGGTAACTGTACCATTGTCAATGTCAATGCCAAACTTCCCATATCCATCTTCCCTCATGATGTATAGGACATCGTTGTTAGGGCTGACCACATCCTTATCGACAGCGACAACAGCGCCAACCACAGTGCCGACACCGCTGGAAGGATCGACAGTGAACTCCTGGCCATGGGGTAGGTATGGAGCATGGTCATTTTCATCCTCCACAGATATAGTCAAGTTGACGCCAGTGTGGCGCCAGTCATTCTGTACACTCTCTGCAATTATCTGAAACAGTGGATCAATTAAATTCACAGACACTGGGGGTGGCAAGTACTGGGAATGCAACATTGCATGGAATGGCCAGTGCATTACAATACCATGAGCTATAATATATACTAAATCAGTATTGTTTTATATTGATACAAGTGTATACGAGGTGGACTAGATTTTAGTTTGAACATGAATTGTCACATACCTCATGAACCCTTTAAATTGTGGTCATCACTGCTAATAACTTTGGTTCCAGTAAGAAAGAAAAGCCAGACAGAACTTAGACCAATGAGAGATGATGATTTTAAGGGGGGTCACCCATTTTGTTCTGGGGAGGTAGGGTTGGTCATCAATTTTGTACACATTATTCTAGGGGGGGGGTCAGCAATTTTATAAAAATATTTTAAAATTATGCTTTAAAAATATGGAAAAGGGGAGTCACTGACTTTGTACATGACATGCAGGGAGGGTCACTTACTTTGTACATAAATTTTAGGAGGTGTCATTCACATTGTACAAGCTAAAAAATCATCATCACCCCCCCCCTAGCCATAAATTATGAACGGTCCCATATGTTCCCTATGGTACCACTGAAAGGTCTGACCCTCACTCTAATGACCCTCACTCTATGAAGGTTCTATGAAGGTTCTGGGGAGGTGGGGTAGCCTAGTGGTTAAAGCGTTGGCTCGTCATGCCGAAGACCCGGGTTCGAATCCCCACATGGGTACAATGTGTGAAGCCCATTTCTGGTGTCCCCCGCCGTGATGTTGCTGGAATATTGCTAAAAGCGGCGTAAAACCAAACTCAGTCAGTCAGTCAGTCTATGAAGGTTCTCATAAACTCATGCCCAATGAATATCAAATTCTAATTGTACCTCCCAGGGAACAAAAGCTCTATAGTATACATATTCATTTCTGACATGAACTGTATTTCCTGGAGGACAGAAACTTATTCAACATATCAGAATTGAAGGTAACTTGTATTATCAGAAAAATATTCTTAAAGACTTTTGGTTTAGAATTCTTTTCCATTTTCCATACATGTTAAGGGTTTTAATGGATCCATAAACACAAAGATAACCTTCTCAATCTCTGTGGATGTTGGCATACAATTGCTTGTTGATGGTATAGGCCAGATACTGCCAGACACATTGTACCCATGTTTGTTGCCAAACCTTGATTGTCATAATGACAAGAAACTGCTGTAACTATGAGGCTAAGTATCAGGGGTATCACTTGCAAGTCTCACCTGAAGATGGTAGTCTGGGACATTCTCGGCATCCAGCGTCGACGATCCTTTCAGGAGAATATGGTTTCCGTCTGGTGTGATCTGGAACATGTCGCTGTTGTGGCCCTTCAGGTACACCTTGTAGTCGCTGTTGCTGTCAGTGACGTCCCTGTCCCAGACGGACAGACGTGGAGACTGAGGACATGATATGCTAACTGGTAACAAGAATGTGTTAACTGGTAACAAGAATGTGTTAACTGGTAACAAGAACGTGTTAACTGGTAACAAGAAGGTGTTAACTGGTAACAAGGTGTTAACTGGTAACAAGAACATGTTAACTGGTAACAAGGTGTTAACTAGTAACAAGGTGTTAACTGGTAACAAGAAGGTGTTAACTGGTAACAAGGTGTTAACTAGTAACAAGGTGTTAACTGGTAACAAGAAGGTGTTAACTGGTAACAAGAAGGTGTTAACTGGTAACAAGAAGGTGTTAACTGGTAACAAGGTGTTTACTGGTAACAAGGTGTTAACTGGTAACAAGAAGGTGTTAACTGGTAACAAGAAGGTGTTAACTGGTAACAAGGTGTTAACTGGTAACAAGGTGTTAACTGGTAACAAGAACATGTTAACTGGTAACAAGGTGTTAACTAGTAACAAGAAGGTGTTAACTGGTAACAAGGTGTTAACTGGTAACAAGAAGGTGTTAACTGGTAACAAGAAGGTGTTAACTGGTAACAAGAACGTGTTAACTGGTAACAAGAAGGTGTTAACTGGTAACAAGGTGTTAACTGGTAACAAGAACATGTTAACTGGTAACAAGGTGTTAACTAGTAACAAGAAGGTGTTAACTGGTAACAAGGTGTTAACTGGTAACAATGTGTTAACTAGTAACAAGAAGGTGTTAACTGGTAACAAGGTGTTAACTGGTAACAAGAACATGTTAGCTGGTAACAAGGTGTTAACTGGTAACAAGAAGGTGTTAACTGGTAACAAGAAGGTGTTAACTGATAACAAGAGCATTTTAACTATTATCAAGATGTTAACTGGTAACAGGAATGTGTTAACTGGTAACAAGGACATGTTAACTGGTAACAAGAATATGCTAACTGAAATCAAGAACATTTACTGGTAACAAGAACACGTTAACTGGTACTAGAACATATTTACTGGTAACATGAGCATGTTAAATGGTTAACTCACAGGTCACATGACCAGGAATCTTTAATCTTGAAGGGAATGATCTAAATTCTCAGTAACTCACCAGGATGAGTTCCTGTTGTGAATCATATCGCCCTTCCTGAAGTGTTGCTGTGTACTCTGTGAGGGCTGAGAACTGGGGGAGGTTGTCGTCAACGTCGCTGACCGTGACAGTAGCAGTGGTGGAGACGGTGTGGGTAGGGAAGCCGCGGTCGATGACAGTGATGGGGAGGATGTACTCACTGCGGAACTCAGCATCTAAAGGTTTCACTGTTCGTATCTCTCCCCGGAGAGGGTCAATGGTGAACTCAGCTGAAGGGAATCAGAAGATGACAAGTCCATAATGTGTAGCAAATCAGTCCATATAATGGTCAAGTCTGGACATGTAAACATCACAGTAACAAATTGTTCTTTTCATTCATATGATCCAGGAATAATGATTTAAACTAAAAGTCATTTCCTTAGAGACTTGTGCAAGTATAGGTTTAACATCCTTTCAACATTTCCAGTTACATCACAGTGTGTTCAGGTAATCCTAAAATGATGACGGTTGATATTTTCACTTCAGAGCGACATACACACAACACCATCTTGCTGAAAGGGATCATTCAGTGTATGCTGATGTAAAATTCCCACTGTACGCCAGTGTTCACGAATTGTGTTTCAAAGTCACAGGACATTGGGTCTTGTAAGTTTCAGATGTCTGTCTGACCCTTTGAAAATGCACAGGACCCATGGAATAAACTTAAACACACATTTCAGATTTAATATTTCTTATAATTGACATTGAAATTATTAACAAACATAAGATTTATAAACAGCAAACAAGTGTCACATGTCATATAAACAACTTCAGTCAAAGTCATTGTGAAATATACAGTCAGACACTGGGGACGGCGGGTTGTAGACTTCTGTCTGACCGTTGGCGAATCTGCCGGATTTGTCAGAGGGTCAGATGCTATTCGTGAACCATGTACGCAGTGCAGTCTATGATCCTTTGTCTCAGGTTGGGTGTGCATCATTTCTGTTGCTAAAAACAACATTCCTGCCACACATCATACTCATGGTGAGGTGAGGTGAAATTGCGTTTAACGTCGAGCTTGAGAATATTTCGCTCATATGATGACGTGCATGCGTGTGTATGTGTATGTGCGGCTGCTTGTACTAGCCCAGACTTAAGGTGGTTTTATAGTGCTAGCCCACTGAGATACCATGCCGCAGTGAAGCATGAATACCCCACTCAGACACATTATACTGACTCCGAGCCGACCAGTCCTTGTACCCATTAATGCCGAGCACCAGGCAGGGACCAACAAGTACCATATTTTAACGTCTTTTGGTCATACTCATGGAGGGAACCTAGTTTTCAGAGTGATGAGTGGATGTGTAAAACTAGGCTGCCCAACACCCACTTGGATTTAAGAAAATAATGACAGCAACAATTATTTAAGACTGCATCCTGAAAGGAGACCAATAACATTCCTGGTTATCTCTGATATCATTTTTAAACCTAAAAAATCAATGAATTTGCATACACCTACGTGTACCAAGAAATGTTGGCCTGAGTCTCTATAATACAGTCGAGCACAGTTGTCTCAATATTCATGGGACCAAGAAAAATCAGTAGTGTTTAGTCGTAACAGTGAGTACTTCGTAATTAATTCCTTCTTAATAAATCCTAAGTAAATAACAAACTAGTGACACCTTTAACTCAATTAGCCCTAATTAGTTTTCACTACCGCATCCCTTTGATTCATGCCACACCGTGTGTAAACGTATGGAAACAACCTCAGTTCAGAGTGATACTTGCCCATGAAAGGTAGGTGAAGATCAAGTTTCTTTGTAAATATCGAGTTAAAAGGGTAATTTTGCTTGTTGGGACCATGAAATTATATCGAGATATCCGAAATATCAAGACACATCTGTATCGAGTTAAAAGAGATTGAATAATAATAAATTATGAAGGATTTTGCCGGGACCTAATTGTTTTATCGAGACAACCGAGATATCAAGTTATCAGAGTTCGACACAACGGTGCCCGACTGTATATCTTTCGACTTGTTCTGAAAATATAGTAATATAACGATAAGACCACCTATATAGCGCTGAACTCCAAGATACAACATAATGGACATTCTACCATGACATTTAAGTATGTTCGTTTTTGATTGGCTGTTACTAAAAAATTAGAAGTGAAACATTTTCAATAACCACTTCTGAGAGCCGGTTCAATGCGCATAGGAATATTTAGCACTCATTAACCCTTACAAAGGTAAACAAACATGTCGTCTGAAACTGTTACGTTTGACCTCGGCAATTTCTTTGATGTGTTTGGATCAGATATGGAGGAAAATATTGACCCAGCCTGGTTCCAACATGAAATGACTGAACAATCACCCAAAGTAACTCTAAGTACCGAAGGTATGAGTATGTAAACGTCATAATGTCCAGTCTCTAAGTGTCATAGTCTAGGCCTATCAAAACACTACGCAAGGGTAATGAGTGCATATTTAAAACGCGTTTTATTCATGGTGCATATGTCATGGTAGAATGGAGATAATCCTATTGTGTTCACATTTTGGAAGTGATTATAGTTGGTTGAACGCTGTAAATGTTTCATTTAGCAGCGTTCAACCAACTATAATCACTTCTAAAATGTAAACACAATAGGATCATCTCCTAATTATTACCCCAGACAACCAAAGCTGTCTTTGAGGCACAAGAAAGATGATACTTACATTTGATAATTTCAGTCCACCTATGGACACCAAAATCATTTCAGAGGTCTGATTATTTCAAATTTTTGTTCTGAAAAATAATTATTCACTGCTTTACTTACACACAGCTGTGTCCAGCAAGTACTCAAAGCCATCTGTCTGTGAGTCGAAGTCCCTGATGTAGATGACGCCTACCACATCTCCCACGGTGATGTTCTCGGGGGACCTGCAGCTGGACATCAGACTGAGGCTGTGGCCGGGTGTTGAGGGGCACGTGCAGCTGCAGCACAGTGTCAGCCGACAGGGGTGGTGCCCCAGAGTCGACAGCCTTCACTGACAGGTAGTAGTCCTTCTCCAGGGGATCTCGTGTCAGGTCATCTGCTATCTTTACTTCACCTGAAAATGTTCAACAGCTATCAGTCGGACTTGAATGGATAAAAATTAGTCCTCAGCGTCCAATTTTCAGCGACACCATTGGACAAATCTGCTCTGATATTCTCTGGTGCATTGTTCTGTTTGGTGCATAGATTTATGCTTCATAATATTATAGGATGAGCTTGTCAAAAGAGGTTGCCATGAACGTAAAAAAACCATAGAGGAGCTTGCCATGAACATACGGTCATCTGAAGCACTATACATACATACATACAGGCAAGAAAGAGCTTGCCATGAACTAGCAGTCAAGACAGCTCCTTGCGGTAGTGAATATGACCCTAGCGTACATATTTCATTATGAGGTAACGTTTCTCTCCAACATATTATTACCCTGTATTTTTTTATATTTACAAATGGTTTACCAGAGAAGGGATCCACAGAGAACTTCCCATATCCCCCGCTCTGCAGCATGTAGGTGATCCTCTTATTGTCTGCATCAACGTCAGCATCGTCAGCCAGGAATGTGTAGATCACCGTACCAATAGGGGAAGAGGGGTTGACCAGGAGGGGTGACAGGATACCTTCCACAGTCTCCCCGGAACACTGGTGGGTTGTCATTGACATCCTCTATAGTGATGTTTAGTGATGCTGTGGACTTCAGTCCGGTACCTCCTTGATCTGTTGCTGTGATCTACAGGAAAAGGGTCATTGATGGATATTACTTTACTCTGCCATATATTCCAGTTATGTAATCAAGTCTAGGCCTGAGAATACAGCAGTTAATGCACAAATGGTTGATTGTCTAATTCTTCAGTTGTTTCCAAATAACTTCACAAATGTAGTCAGTAATGGTTAACTTATTACAGAATTACTGTTTAACAGTTACTTCAAAGACAATATTAACTCATTCAGCAGTGATTGATGTTCAGCTTAAAAAAGGCACTCATAGAAACTGTATTAAGGGAATATGGTTTTATGACACTGTTACCAATGTTCAATATTCCTGGAACCAAAGATGGCATCACAAATATTTTCCATGGCTTTACAGGATTCTAACATTTTAGAATGGAAAGAATGATGAATTTCTAAGGGCTGAACTCTTACCTTTAACTTATATATCTGCTGTAGATCTGCGTCAAACGTGGCGTTCTCGTGCACTGTCAGCTGACCTGTGACTGGGTCCAGGTGGAAATCACTGCGTCCAACTCCTTCCAAACCAAACCTGACGGTTTCAGTGGCTCCCTTTACGTCAGCATCAAGGACGGACAACTCTGGCACCTATTGAAGAGTCCGTTGTCTGGAAATGAGATATGCACCTCAAATGTAGGATGTATTGGCAAGAACTTCTGTCCCTAATACTTGATAGTTGATTACGAGTGAGGGAGAGAGTTTGGGTTCAACGCTGCTTTGAACAGTAAACAAAAAGTATAAAATGGCCTGTCACACTTATGTGAGAGGCAATCCTGAAGGGATGCAGGTCTGATGCATTTAACACTCGTGATCACTAGGTTTCTGGCATGCCAAAGGGAAGCAACTCCAAACCACAGTGTCTCAGACAGTGGGTCCAACCAATTGCCACAATAATTTTATGTTTGTTGTTTTTTCCGCTCTCAGCAATATTCCAGCTATATGGCAGGAGTATGTAAATGGTCGAGTTTGGACGAGACAATCCAGTGATCAACATCATGAGTATTGATCTATGCAGTTAGGACTGATAATGCCATTTGGTGAACCAGATCTGTTCAGAACTTTTCAACCAAATATACCACATATCCACAATAATTTTGACTGGTTCAGTATAAAGTCATAAAAGAGAGTCTTAGTGATCCAAACACAGTTCTAATCAATAACTTCCAATCATACATGTTAAAATTGTGAGACTTGACATCTTCAAAACTTTTCAAGTGTGGAATGGCATTTCATGTAATCAAGCTTTCTTTGGATGCATATGATTATGTTTCGTTTGCTTTAAATATTGCTTTTTATGATTTGGATTGCTTTTGAATGGTTTTGAGTCATCTGGTAGTGTTACTGACTGATAAAAATTTGGAACAACAACATTTTTCTTTGTACAATAACACAACTCCATATTTCGAAATTTTAGACTGAAAATGTTTTTGTAAATATGTGAATACTGGCCACCAAACTCATGGAAGTAGGGATTATCTGCCGAGAGTGAATGGACAGTGTTACGACGTAAATTGTAATAAAAACGCAAATTGTAATACTTGCAGCAAATTGTAATAAACTTGACGTAAATTGTAATAAAAACGTAAAATTGTAATAAAATTGACGTAAATTGTAATACGCAAATTGTAATAAAAATTGACGTAAATTGTAATAATTTTCGTTTCGGAAAATGTAATAAATATTTACGTAAATTGTAATAACAGTTTTAATCACTCGTAAATACGCGGGTGTTTGTTTTTCGTTGCATTTCATACATCAAATAAGCTCGTTAGGGCGATAACTCAAGAAAGAATGATGGATTTTGTTCAAATTTGGTACCAAGGTATATTGGCGAGATTCACCGACACAAGTGAAATTGAGTGACCTTGAGATAATTTTCAAGGTCACAGCAAAAATCTGAGGGTTTTGCCAATATAAAGATTGTTAGCGATAACCCAAGAAAGAATTGACAAATCTTAGCCAAATGACGAAAATGATATTCGGTCCTGATATATACTCTCCCAAAAAAGAAACGCATCATGAAAATAGCAATTTCATGTAGCAATGAATTAAAACGTGATTCATTTTACAAAAGGTTTTGCTCTGTTTATGAGTCCTATGGTGTTTATGTTTTGAAACATCACAACAAAACGCACCATCCGTAAAATACCCGTATGTAACAGTATGATTTTCAATTTCGGCGTGTAGTGTCACAGAATACACAATTCACATGCAATGCACGTGAAAGTTGGGGATCAGATAGTCTCAATGATGGGTATAAAAGGTTGATCGCTGTCTGTCGATTATTCACTGTATTTGGAATATTGTTGACGAACGCAAAATGCCACGTCTAAGTGAAGCCAACCGTCATATCGCCATTTGTTTGCTTGAAGCTGGCCAGTCTCAACGGGCAGTTGCCCGATGCATGAATGTTCACCAAAGCACGGCTCTGGGAGAGATATGGCCGCAGAATGCGGTAGCAAATGCCCCTCGTAGTGGGCAACCTCGAGCGACCACTGCGGCGCAGGATCGCTACATCCAGGTACATCACCTGCGTCATCGAACAGCTACGGTGACCAATACCGCTCGACAAATACCCGGATTGAATAAGCTTTCTGCACCGACCGTCAGAAACAGGTTGAGAGAGGCTGGTTTACGTGCCAGAAGACCTTTTTTTTGGCCCTGTGCTTGGACAACAACATCGTCGACATCGAGTTCAATGGTGCACCAACGTTCAGGCCTGGAACCTACCGAATTGGCGTAGAATCTGGTTCAGTGATGAATCACGATTTCTATTGAACGACGCGATGGAAGAATGCGGGTGTACAGATCGCCGACGTGAACGCTTTCGCCGACGCTTGCGCCCCCAGGTGGACAGATTCGGCCGGAAAGTGTTATGATGTGGGGAGAGATCACCTGCCGTAGGAGAAGTGATTGGGTGATGATCCAGGGCAACCTGACAGCTCAACGGTACTGTGACGAAATCCTACGCCCACACCTCCTTCCAATCATTGATTGCCAGAGGGAGTTGTTTCAACAGGACAATGCCAGGCCCCACACAGCACGTCACACTAGAGACTTCCTCCAGAACCACAACATCAATGTGCTCCCCATGCCCTCAAGATCACCGGACTTAAACCCGATCGAACATCTATGGGATGCCCTGGACAGACGGGTGCGACGCCGTAACCCTCAGCCCCAGACACTTCAGCAACTCGCACAGGCACAACAGGCAGAGTGGGCTGCGACTGGGCAACACGGGATTCTGAGACTTATTCGTTCGATGCCGAGGCGATGCCGTGCAGTTCTGGATGCCCACGGTGGTCACACGAGGTATTGACTTCAGCGCCACCACACCACACGTCTCCATGTGACACTCAAACTGACTTTCCTCGAGTTGGTGCCAAAGACGGATAAGTCTGCATTCCCAGTGTGCAATTTCGCTATATTTCATTGACTCCTACAAGATGTTTCAAAATAAACATAAAAATACAGTTGAAATTCCTATATGCGTTTCTTTTTGGGAGAGTATATAATCGATATAAAATCTCCTACTGTCCTCTGTATCATGTCTTTTCGCAAATATCTTTTGATGTTTTTGGTGTACAAATATAAAGTGGGGTGGGGTGGGTGTGGGTTTCTAACGGGTATATAAAATCAAATCAAATTAGACATTTGTATAGCGCTACATATCCAGAGTCCTGCTCATGTGCGCTTAGTCGAATGCTCGTTTGAAGAGGATGGTTTTGCGACAAGATATTTTCCGATTTTTTCTGACATTTTCAGGTAATCAATTCCAGAGTACAGCACCCGGTCTGCTAAATGATCTGTCTCCGTATGTTGTGGTTCGGACAAATGGAATAGCCTAGCTGACTAGCAATAAAATGCATCACAAATTAAACTTCAGGAAACAAAATATGCAAGAAACATTTTTGTATGTTTGAGATTGGTAGAGGTCGGCTAGAATCAAACTTAGATATTAAACTGCACAAAAAGGCAATTTGAAACTACAATCGCTTGTTCAAATGACTCCCCATTCCGTTTACTGAAAGAACTCGAGAAAGAAATGATGGATTTTGTTCAAATTTGGTACCAAGGTTTATTGACGAGATTTACCGACACCACTTGAATTTAGTGACCTTGAGGCCATTTTAAAGGTCACAGCGAAGGTGTAACAGTTTTGCACATGCCAAGCTTGGTAGCCGCGAACTTAGGAAAGAATTAATAGATTTTGATCCAATTTTATATCAAGGTGTATTGGCGGGAATCCCCCTACACCAATTGAAACAAAATATGCAAAAAACATGTATGTTGGTAAAAGTCAAACTTAGATATTAAACTGCACAAAAAAGCAATTTTAAACTATAATCGCTTGTTCAAGTGACTCCCCCTTCATGTTTACTGAAAGGGCTTGTTTTGGAGACACTACCAACCCCCTTTCAGTTGCCGTCATCATAAGGATATAACTCATCCTAAAGTTTTCACTTATTCATACATGATGTCAAGGGTCCAAACTAAATACTGAATGGTCACACAAGTGTCAGCTCTCAATATGTTGTATATCTGGACACAATGTTTTTGAAAATTTACAATGTAAGGCGTCTGCCTATCACGCTGAAGGCCCGGTTTCGAGGAGGCACCAAGGTTCGGTTCCCGAGATGGGCACATTTGCGTAGTATCCTTGGACAAGATACTTAGATCTACACTGTCTCAGTTCACCCAGCTGTAAAATGGGTACCCGTGAGTATGTGCTGGCAATGTGAGTGTTTAGTTCATTGCTCCAAACAGGCAGCATGGCTGTACAGTCCCCAGGGAGTTGAAAAGGTATCGGAAACTACGATAGTGTCCTATGATCGGGGATAGTAATGTACGTAGCGCCGTGAGCAGGCAATGTGCCTGGATGTGAGCGCCATATAAGCGGACTATTACTATTACTAGATACCAAATGGGAGATCGTTTTCCATTTTCTGCAAATTTGCAAGAAACATAATACCCCAATGTTGTGATGACTAATATCTCGTTAACCACATTAAATATTGGATATGACTTTGCTAATGATTCCTTCAAAATAAAATGGAAGCTTTTTTTCAAACATTGGACATCGAGAATATAGTTAGTCTGACTACTTTTTCAACGCCCCTCGTAACATACTAAAAAGAAAAGAGAACGTCTAAGGAAAAAAGCATTTCGATCTCTGAATACTTCTGAGCTATTTAAGTACAAAAAGCAAAGGAATAAAGTAAATAATCTAAAAAGAATAGCCAAGGGAAACGTTTAATCTATTTTTGATAACTATTTATCACCTCAGTCTACTCAATCAGGTGGTTACCACTTCATCGGGGGCCCACTCCCCTTGTCACTGATGCTTCTGGGATACCTTCAGTTTTTACAGATTTGGCTAAAGCTCAAACATTAAATGAATATTTTGTATCTGTTTCAAATGTTACTGATGGCGGCAAGACTTTGCCACCTGTTAGCCATCGCTATGTTAACAGTATAACAAATGTCATTGTAACCGAAAAGGAGGTATCTGATAAGACCTTACCAGCAAACACATCTAGTGGACCTGATGGCATTAGCATGAGG